CCGTTTCGCCAGGTTGAAGCTCGCCATTCCGGACATGCAGATAACAGACATAGGGAAGGGCACCATGCCACTGCGCGTAAAGAAATCGGACGAGGAGATTGCACTTATCAGGTGCGTATGTTCAACTTGTTCTCGCTGTATATCCTCATGTTTCTTGTTGCTTCGGTCAAAACAATGTATCCTACTATAAATAGTTTTAACTTTAGAATATTTTATTTTTATTTAATTTTATTCACATTTATTTTCCGAGGATGAGGCAAAAAGTTATAAAACTTATCTCAGCCCTCTCCTCACACATAAAAGGATACAATAAAACAAAGTAATAATAATAATAAGAAATGACAAGGGTACATAGTAGGCTGGTGTACAAATCAAAATGAATCAACTAAATCAAACAAAACGTCCTGTCTGCAAAATAAAGTTGAAAACCACATCAAATATGTTACAGTTGTTGACAAACGACAATGAGGGGTTACCCCTGAGAATGGTTGAACATAAAGTGTTGTCGGTGACGTTGTTTGTGTCAAATGGCAGAATGTTAGTTAGAGATGATAACATGTCAATGCGTTCGTCAGTGTACAGTGGGCAGTGTAGGAAGTAGTGTACAGCTGTTTCGTTGAAGTAACCACATTTGCACGCAGGACTGGGCACACATTGATGTTGGAACAGGTGAAAGTTTAACTGACTGCGGTTGAGTCTGAGTCTGGTAAGGTGGATAGCTGGGTTTCTCGGACCGCGGGAGAAGTGAGGTTGAGTGTGAGGGCTGTGATAAAACGTCTCCAACTCTTTTTTAAAGATGGCAATTGATGTTGATGCTCGTGTAGTTAATGGCAAGTTATTCCAGGAAACAATGGAAGTAGGCAGAAAAGATCTTTTGAATTTCTCAGTTCTAGCAGGAATTAAGACGTAATTCTGATCAGTACGGAGACTGTAGGGGGTGGAGTCACGGGTTTGTAGTGGTACCAATTCCTGTAAGTATTTTGGTGCTAATTCTTTGATAATTTTATAAAAGTTTACAAGTTTATGCTTTTGACGCCTACATGACATGGTTTCCCAGCCAACCTCAGACAAGATGCTATTACTATTTGTTCCTCTCATTGCGCCAGTACATATCCGAGCTGCATTGAGTTGAACAGATTCAATTAAGTCAGAGTCTTTACCAGTTAATCCGTCCCAAACAACGTCGGCATACTCCAGTAATGGCCTTATCATTACTTTATATAAGGTTTCAAGAGTTTACTATATTCAACTTTAGAATATAGTATTCATGGTTGGAGACAAATTTTTAAAATGTTTAATCTCAAAGCTACTTGGAATAAGTTAGAGTCAACATTGGAAGATGTTTTGTTTTCTGCACTCTCTTTCTCTCTCTCTCTCTCTCTGTCTCTCTCTCCCCCTCTCACATCCATCTATCTATGGTCCATTCCTGCCGTGATTGGAGCAGAGAAGGCGCCCGCATTGCTGACCTGGGCGGCTGGGCTGTAGTGGAGGCGCTAGAAGAGGGCGTGCCTGAGTACGAGCTGGCGATCCACGCTGCCAACGCCATGACGAGGGAAGTGGCCAGGACCTACCCGCACGGCGAACTCATGAATAGTCAGTACAAACTTCCTTATAAGGCTGTGTCACGTGACGTCACGGCCGCCATTGTGGCTGGTTACACCTGGAAGAATCAGAATTATGATACTGTGACTGTATACATTATACAAATACAATTTTTACTTCAAACTGCCAAATAGAACATGATAACAGAAAAAAATAAGATATATTTTCTGTTGTTTCGTTTGTTTTGTTCAAACAACTTCTCAATGTCGACTAGAGACCGAGACCTAAACCTATTATCAAGTTGAATTCAGAGTAACCCAGTTGTGTCAATGATTTTTGATTTGTGGTACATTGTACAAATGTCGTGGTTCTGAAGTGATATTCATCTTTCAATATTAATCATATTTCTGTAGTTGATATATATTATATATCGGGTATAACCCAGGAATACTAAGATTTTGGTTCCTTTTCTCCCCCAGCTTGGGCCTGGGTCCAGTCAGGGATCAACACTGACGGGGCACACAACCCTGTGACGTCACGGCGCGTGCGCAGTGGGGACATCATGTCAGTCAACACCTTCCCAATGATTGCTGGGTATGACTTTGATTTTGTCAAGTTTTCAACTGACAACATTTCAGTTGATATTGGGTTTTAGCATTTTACAAGGTATTTTGGTAGACACTTTTTGCTACAATATTGTAATGTATGGTGTTTTCTTTCGCTAGAGTAGACCTTGCAAGGTAACCTATAGGGTTTTTGTACGCCATAACGTAAGAAATTGTTGTTGGTACATGTATCATTTTATTACCTCAAAAACTGTTGACATTATAACTGGTGTCATATGCATCTCCGTCCTTGTATCCCAGGTACTACACCGCCCTGGAGAGGACCATGTTCCTGAACCACGCCTCAGACGCTCACCTCGCTCTCTGGGAGATCAACTGTCAGGTATTAATAAAACTCTGTCTATAACCTATGGTTATCTATCAGTGAATAATTCTTTTCTACCGTGGCCGACAAGTACACATGTTTGCTCAGGTGACGTAGGCGTGTACTTGTCGGTCACGGTACTTTTCCGTAGCAACAGTGTTTATAAAAGTCGCTCTCCCTCGTTTTTTTTTAACGAGTCTCACCTCTCTGTACTGTTCCCTCCCCTGTGACTACCAGGTCCACCGGCGGGGCCTGGAGCTGGTCCGGCCGGGAGCGCGCTGCTGTGACATCGCCACCGAGCTGAACGAGATGTACCGGCAACACGGGCTGCTGCAGTACCATACCATCGGCTACGGGCACTCCTTCGGCATCATGTGTCACTACTACGGCAGGGAATCTGGTCAGATGTTTTTATGTTTGCTCTGTTTCCTCTTCTTTTTCTTCAAACCAATAAGGTCAATGACCTAAACCAGATGTCTGTCACCATGGTAACTAGTGTTAGGTTACATTATGTTGCAATTTTATAGCAGGAAGGATTTAGACTCCCGCCTGACATGTGTCTGACCATATATATGAATGTGTATGAGTAAGGATTAACAGAGCAGGCCATATGCGAAGGTAAATATTATGCATTTGCTTTGCAAATGTTACCTTTCAGGTTATTAAAATGACGAAACCCGGTCGTTATGAAAACATCAATAATTGAATAAAGCTGACCTTCAAGTGCACTTTGAAACGGGGACATGGGAATTTGTGCGATTCGTAGCTTGAAGGCTCCGAATATATTAAGTGTGCCTCTGAATCTTCCGTTCTTGGTCCCAGAGGTGGAGCTGCGAGAGGACATCCCGACCGTTCTCGAGCCCGGGATGGTCATCTCCATGGAGCCGATGATCATGATCCCCGAGGGCATGCCGGGAGCGGGCGGGTACCGGGAGCACGACATCCTGGTGGTGACAGAGGACGGGGCGGAGGACATCACAGGCTTCCCGTTCGGTCCTGAGCACAACATCATCAAGAAGCCTTAGCCAAGCCTGCTGTATTTTAGGAGACTCCTGCATGGCCGCGATCCGCGCTAGCGCCGAGGAGTTGGCATGCAGTTTCCAACACGTTTTTGCGGTGCAACGACATCTTTTTAATTCTCAAATGGCATTATGAACACATGTAGGCATACAGAGCAAAAAAAATGTGTAAAACAACGATGTTTGAAATGGTTGAAAAACTACATGATGGGCCTTTAACAGAGTAGCCAAACGATGAAAACTGCATGGTCGCCTCAGATCAGCAAGATGCACACAATGAATTGTTACTGAAGCAGCTGGATAGATTTTGAAAACTGCCAGGCGTTACATTTCATAAGTTAGGCTCTTTACTTGTCAAAGCAAATTTGAAGCAAATACAACGACTGTAGAAAGACATTGCTATAGCGTCAAGTAAAACGGTGGGATCTGTGTAATAAAAAAGCTTTCCAATGATGCATAATACAATGTAACGGTAAAATTGATAATAACTTAAAAGATATGATCGACCAAATTCAAGTTTCCTTTGTGTTGAATTATTTTGATATCGGCGATTTAAAGAACTAATTCGCGGACGTCGACCCAATCTTTGTAAGGGACAGTGGTGAAGGTGGGTAACATTAGGTGCTTTTTATTCAGTAATCTGATTTGTCATTAAAGCTTCATCTCTTTGTTAATTTCTCTATCGTTTGTTGACTTTATGAGCTGCTTTTTCCAGCGAGTCTGAATGGGGTAGGGCACATTACAAATTAAACAAATCTTTCATTCAGTTAACCCACTGAGTTCCGAAACATCTCCATCTTTATCTAACGCATTCATAGTACAATAGTATTAGCCTCTACCAGGCACCGCGCGGATCGCTGGAAAAAATAGTAACGTTAGAAATTGGCCGAAATAAAGGGATACTAGTAGTACGTATACCAGAGAAGATCCAGGGCCATAGAAGCTCCAATTTGCGACCCACGGGTCTATGGCCCTGGATCTTCTCTGGTATACGTACTATCCCTTTATTTCGGCCAATTTCTACTATTTTTCCAGCGATCCGCGGTGCCTGGTAGAGGTGGTGTATACTAGCGAATTTACCAGCGGCGATCATGTTTTACAATGAACATGCAATTAGCGGCCCTCCTTTACAAACAAGGTGTTACTAGTACTCAACGATGCAACGTAACATTGTATTCTTTACCATGATACTTGTCACTTTTGGTCGGACTCGAAGGAAACATAACGATATGCATGAGAGCCCACCTTTAGATGCCATTCATTCAATATTTGCTAACTACGTACGTAAAGACATTGGCCTAGGACGACCAAAGAAGTCTGTATAATGTCCTTGGGACGACTTATAAGCATAGCCCTTTGAAAAAAAATGAACAGGAGTATTTTGACGTTTTGTGAAACGTCTCCCAGGTAAACCTTTCTATGAAAGCAGTATCATATTTATCGGTTAATATTTCCGTTATATCATAAATTTAAAGAACATTCAGGTCCCCGAAAACATGAATGGAACGTTCCAAACTTCCTTTGTTGTCACGTGACAACCTTGCGGTCCTTCCGAAGAGACTGTATCGTTTTGCCCCGAGGAGAGAATGTTGACATTTTGTGTTGAACTTTTCCGGCTCAAGTATCCATTAACAATCGAAGTCCTTCATCTGAGACTGTTTGTCCACACTGGCGAGGAGATGTAGCGTTCGACAGGGCGGAATATTGGCAGCTCCAGTGGGAAACAAAGATGTCTTCAACACGTCCTTGTGCCGAGTGGCTGAAGCCAAGGAACCCCCCAGATTTCAACCTTTCTTCAAAACATACAGGACAACGAGAATAATAGTATAAAATAGGGGAAAGGCTTCGCAAATATGGCGTCATCCAGTCTCTTAAACCCGACGGTTTGCGAGGTGAGTTACGACGATGAGATCGGGGCCGGAGGACGGGAGGTTGTGGCGGCGTACCAACGACCGCGAACCGGCGGGCTGTCGCCTCCCCGCGCCCGCCCGCAAGTCCTCCGCGACACGCCGTCCCTGTCGTACGGAGACTACGAGGAGTATCGGGAGTACGTCAAGTGTATCTACCGGGACAGCAGGCCCGTCTCACAGCTAACGTACGCGTACTCGGTAAGTATAGGATCCTCAACAGGTTGTCAGAATGGTAAAAACACATTTTGTTGTTGACATTTTGAAGGAAAAAGTGCACCTGTCTCTGAAAAGCCAAAGGGGTTTAGTTGCTTTCGAAATCAGGGGGTGGGGGTACACTAGATATTAGGAACCGTTGGGATAAACCTTTCCTCTATAACTGTTGCCGAAATGAAATGGACAAAGGCAAAACTTGCTAAAACTAAGTGAAAGATCGCTTGAAAAGATTTGATTCGTTGGTTGCCATTTTCCTGGGGGATTTAACAGTGCAAAAATGACAAATTGGTCAAAATTCACTGTAATTCTCTGATGACCTTTTTAGGTATTATGTTGAATATTTCTGATGCACTACATTTTATTCCAACCACCTGTGACCAAAGACTGTCAAATATGCAACTAAATCTTTTCCAGTGCTGTCTTGTGTTTTAAATTGGCTGTTGTGTTTACGCTGTTTCCAGGTGAAAATTTTTTGTTTGACTCCCGACAAAGGTATAGCAGGCAAGGTTATCAACTGAAATATTTCTCATTCTCCAGTCTGTGTTTTGTACACAAAAACCTTTTCACAAAAGAAATTGGTACATGGAGTTGATAGCAGGAGCGAACTGGTGTTAGTGTTTAGGTGCCATTTTTGAGTGGACTGATGCAGTTTTAAGGTTTGTAATGAGTATTCTGAGTGATCACACATATATGTACAGCCATAGAATTGTTTTATCTGCCTTGTTGTACTTTCACCTCTATGACCCGTAATTGCGATACCATGATGTCGGCTGTATCAATCTGCGACTGTTTGTTTACTTAGCGTGGTTACTCGGCGTATTGAGTGGCCTGTGTAGCCATTGTTCAGAATGAATGGGCATTCACCTCTTGATACAGCAGTAAGGACTGTGTTTAACATCCCCCATCCTGCCTAACCCCGTAACTAATACAAATCTGATTTCAAGCCAAGAAAGGCTAACGTCTAAGTCTGACTAATTGCTAGATAATCTTACGCTGAAGTCTAAAAGAAGTATCACCTTTCAGTATAATTGACAAGAAGATATCCTGTCCATTTGTTACTATGATGTTAGCTCAACTGGTATTACAGTAATTTGACAGAGCCAAAGGCTTGAGCTTTTAAGGTACAAAATATATGATCTTGTAGCTTAAGTAAGTTTCAGCATTAGTTACCGTTATGCATCTACAGAAGAAATAAGATAGGACGCTTCTTGACCTGGTTTGAAGTTGAAGCTTCATTTTTTTTCAGTGTGGGAGTGACAGTCTTTTTTTTTTCTTTGTAGATTGACCTGTGAATTTGACAGTGAAAATAACAATGTATAGAACTGTAATTTACTTTACTTACTTAACTTATGTATGGAAAAAATGAAATGACACTGAGAAATGCAAATACATATACGTTGCTATCTAAGGCCACACCAGCTAGCAAGTTACATGTTGGCTTGATTTACAAGTTGCTGAAACTAGGATCTGTTGTACCGTTGGTGTCTGACTTTCTCGAACTATTGATGGTAAAATAATAAGAGCATTTTGATGGTGATTCTTTCATGCTACCCCGACGAAATTGCTCTCCTAGCAGTCTACCTGACTGATTGGCCCCCTAGAAAGAGCTAATTAACCTCCAGCAGAGAGATTCTTATCCTGATTTACAACAAGTTATTGAAACTAGTACCTGTTGTTCAATTGGTACCTGATTTTCTTTTACTATTGATGGCAAAATAAGAGCATTTTTGGTGTTGATTTGTATCCTTGTAGCCAGATCACTAATTTCTGCTCCTAGCAGTCCGTCCAACCGATTGACCCCCTAGAAGGGGCCAATCAACCCCTGGCAGAGAGAGATTGTGTATCACCCAGTCACCCTGAATGGAACACATTAGCCTCTACCAGGCACCGCGGATCGCTGGAAAAATAGTAGAAATTGCCCGAATAAAGGGATACACAACCCACGTGGGTCACGAATTGGATCTTCTATGGCCCGGGATCTTCTATGGTATATTATCAATTTATTTTGGCCAATTTCTACTATTTTTCCAGCGATCCGCGCATTCCGCGGTGCCTGGTAGAGGCTAGGAACACATGCTTTTTTGACAAATCAGAAAAAAATTGGACAATAAGAGAACCGACAAATTTATTTTCCAAGGCCCAAAGAAATTGTTTTTCTGTCATGTGACAAATCTCAGTTGTCCAATCCAGTATCCGTATCCCACCACCAGGCTGGTAAATGTTCGACCAGTCGACAACAATCAGGTGGGCACCTGGCTTTCACCAGTGCCTAATCTGTGGATTACTACTCAAAGCCCATCTGAAGCCAGTCACCACATACCATGTAGCTGCACCTGACATACTATAGCAACTGTTGATATGCTTTACAGGAAGTAACAATACAGCAATATGTCAAATGCATTTTGCATTAAAAGATTTTCTCTGCACACGCTACAGTAACCATTTTTGTCTGACTGCCTATGTGATACAGACACATTTTAATAGCAGCGGCATCCTTCTATTCTGTAAGTCCTTTTGCTATCATTACATACCTGTAAAATGGTAGGGAGTTTGGGTATCATGTTTGTAAGGTAAATAGTTCAATATCTAAGGTATGTACTTTGTTTGCACATGACTTAAAGCTTGTGTTTGAAGTCTTTAATGATAGGTTACAGCCCATGACTAGAACTGAAGTTTCCTCTGATGTTTTAATGACAGAGAATGGGCAGTAATGCAGTTTTCTTTGAGAGCAAAGTGTACATCAATCAGGGCTCGTAATACCCACTTACAACCTGTAATTTGTAGCAGAGAAAGGTTGTAGATAACAATGAGACTGTTCCATTCTGTTTTCGAAGGAAGTTTAATTCATTATAAATTTCTTCTGAATCTATTAAATGAATCACAATTATTATTTTTTTTGTCTATTCTATTAATGTATTTTTCAGGACTTGATGACAGATCCATTCATTTTTATTGACTGAATGAACATGAATTTTGTTGATCATGGTTCGAAAAGTTTGATCCCCATAGCAACAGGCAGTCCCTAGATGTAGGCGAGTAACCTCATTAACTTAAGGCCCACTAATCTTCCTAATGTGTTTTTAATGAGGCTAATTGGCATGTACCTGTCCAAGGTTTGAGTACCAGAGATAAAACACATGTTGCCTTTTGGTGAAAACACCAATAAATTATCTGATTTTGTGGAGTGGTGTTTGTATGGTTACAGATTACAGAGTTATTTCGAAACTCTAACATTCCCAAGGGAATGAGAGATACTCTGTACAATCTGCAGAATATACAGACTTTGTAGCTTTCTACATGTTATACTTATAGGATAGGTCAATGTAGAAATTATCTTTTGATTTTGAAATTTAGCAGCAGAAAATTACCAGAGATCGTAAACTTAAAAGGTGAAACATTTATACAACAAAAGTGTTGAATTAATAATGAATTACATATGTAAATGATTAGATCACTACTATTAATAATCTTAGTAGTAAAGCTTGTTGGACCAAAAAACATGTACATTATATTGTGGTTATATTTGCACAATTAATAATGTTAACACAGACAAAGGAGTTTTTTCATGAAGGTATTTGATGATTTACTGCACATAAATTTGTATATTGGAATGTCCCGTCATGTTTGGCATATCTTGTAAACTAGACCAAATGATAGGAGTTTGCAAAAAAACTACATGTACATGGTAATTTGTGAAGAATGAAAATACCCAACCTGCCCCTCCCCTAAATTGAAAAGTGGAATGGCCTGGAGAAATGTTATGCCATGTTGCCATGGCAACACATCAAACAGCCACAGGTGCAGTCCTTGATCTAGGAGAACTGTCATAATAATGGATGATGAATTGCCGAGGCAGTGTTTAAAAATTTGAATGTGTTCCTTTCTTTAAATATTTTCTTGAGAAAAGTTATCATGACTGAGCCTGGATGACTTTTAAAAATGTAAACATTTAGTCATGTTTTCACAACAGAAAAGAACAAATCTACATGGACAGATGTACAATGGCTCACCTTCAAATTGGAACGAATTCCAAAGCAAAGTATATTTACCTAAAACATATTCCATCGTTTTTTTTCCTGTCCCAGCTTTGCTATATATACAAATCATGCACACAACTGATCTACCAGTAGTTTCTACAATTGGATAATCTCCAAGCTATGGTAAACTGAGTCTTTCCTTAGTGGACGTTTGGGTAGTTGACACGAAGGCTGAGTCTGGTTCTTTTGATGTCGGAGTACAAACAGCACTACTAATCTGTGTAGTTTATGTTCAGAAGCACCTATTATTGACATGTTTCCATGGCTGCAGTAAAAGGCTTGTAGTACTTCCCCGGGTACTTCATGCTTGGTTTATAGGCATGTAGTTGGCTAGGAGACAGGTCTGGACTGGAATGGCATCGCCTTGTTTTTACGCCAAGCTGGTACAGATTCGCTTGTGTGTGTGGGACCCTGTACTGTACCGAGGTCTTGCCTGAGGCATAGACATTTACCAGTAGTCCTTCTGAGAAAGTATACGCCATGAGTAGTGGGGGCTACAGGACGGCAATAAGGAGACCGCGTATGACTTCCGTGGTAAGTTAAATCTGTATTCATAACTTTAAGAAGGCCATAAAAAGCTTAAGACATAAGCTTCATACTGATAAGCTTTGTTGCAAAATATTTACTTAGATACTGCAAGGAAATTAAAGGGTGCTGGCTGTTTTTAGCAGTTGCTCTTTTTAAAAGTCACAATCAGTAATCTTTGAAAGTCGGTTTTCATTGTTTGAAATGTTTATTGTTTGAGTGTTATATCATGTAGGAAAGTGTTGCTTTAGAAGGGATGTTAAATCTTCTCATGTAAAGTTCAAGATGTTATAATTCATTTACGGGCAAACATGGTGTTCTCATGAGTAGCTTTGTCATCAAATTAGTAGGTCATACTTTATGATAGGTCATAGCGGGGGGAAAACTAAAAAGGAGTTTTAGAAAAATTTTGGAGTCCATTCAGGCCCATAGAAAAGTGTCAGCCAGTGAAATTTTCCCTAGATTACATGACTTTCTTGTGCTACAAGAACATTATTTTTGAACAATCATGTTGTTCTTTGTTCTACATATATATATACGCCAGCTTTGTACAAGTTGGGAAGTAATGTCTAGAATAATTAGCTTGTTCCCACATTTCACACAGCCTGAGATGGCCATATCTTATTGATTTTTAACACACACACATATACAATGCCACCCAGAGTGTTTACAACTGCAAGTAAGCTGCTTTTGGCAGAAGGGCAGACCAACGACAAAACATACATTGTAGCGACCCAAATCCAATCAGGACATGATTGTACATGTGGCTTCAAGTCTGCCATGGCTATAATTGGCTTGTGTGGTGAACAGTGAATACACATCCATTCAAAGCAGTTAAGATAGATGTTCTAGTTACAGACGAGTGTGTTATCAGTATCAATAAAACTTTGACTGTTCTGCTTTATTGCAATTTGCAATAGATTATTAGCTATGCCCTTTATTGCTTTGGTCTGATAAGATACAGTTGTACATGAACAAACAAATAGAGTAATACAACAGATTAATACAAGAACTTTGATCTGAATTCTGATCAATAATTGTGCACTATGTGTACGCCTATTGGAAATTCTTTCTCCCAGCGTCATAGTCTTGCAAAACAGTTTTTCCCACACCTGTTGAACAGGCTCCTTACAATAATAACAGGGCACCGTCCACTGCATCTGACAGGCATCATTAGTGCCCAGTAAATCTGGCCAATTTAGAACAATACCCGGAGATTTGCAGACAAAAGCACTAGGTGCCAGGGACTGTCAGGTCTATGATTTACCATTTTTCTCTGTCCCTCTTTGCAGTTCTAGATTGGGGAGCCATGGATGAGCCGTTTTTGCAGTGTATTCCTATAAGGATTGAAAATGTATGTGTATTGAAACTTACTAATGGTGGAAATGAAACTTTAAAAGGTGGTAGAGAAGGATAGGAGATTGTAGAAAGGTGAGGAAGCATGATGTTTAGGTGAGGGTTGGTGTCCCAGCATTGAGTACAGTACTGTTGAATTGATGTGTTATTGATAGTGCTAACTGGATTTTAATTCTCTCTTTAAATCACTTTATCCAACTCTACAGACAAAGAACACATATGAGTGTTGGTGGTAAGTTTATGTCCCAGCATTGAGTACAGTACTATCACCGGTAATGTGTTAAGCCTCGGTCACAACCCGCCGTGCAAAAACGTGGGCAAATGTAGGGGATCTGTAAGTGGTGAGTACGGGTGATGCGCGTGCCCCGTACGTACAGTACGTAAGCAGCACGTGTGAGCACGGCCTCCTTACAGAGATTGTATGTTGTAAGCATGTACAACTCACTTACCACTTGCGCAAAGTACGATGCACGCAATTACTTCGGCCAGACTTGGCGTGCAGACCACACCTTTACACCTTGCACAACTGTGCGAGTGATGTGCGTTGACACCACTCCTTCCCTACGTTTTCAGAAAAACGTAGCAGACGTGGCCTCCCAATAAAACATACGGACAAAGAGCATGCACGGCGGGTTGTGACCAAGGCTTTACTGATAGATGCTAAAAGGATGTTAATTCTCTCTTTACAGCCAAGGAACACACCCAGCACGCCGTTCATAGGAAACCCACAGACTGTCCTCCACCAGCCGGATGCCAGGGAACTCGGGACATCCCGCCGAGACCGCGTCCACACGGCCCCCTGTAGTGCCACGCGCAGAGTCCCCACGGCACGTACCATGCCCGGCGCGGTCCGCAGTAGTCCGGCGGTGTCCAACCGTGTGCCAACCAGTCATAACATCAACGCTGAGACCTTCCGTAGACCACAGTGGATTCCAGCTTTAAACGCATGGGTGCCTGACACAAAACAGGTGGGAAGATTAGCATCAAGAACTTACTGTTCCTTTATTATTTGATTAAGTTAAACTTTTACTATATTATAAGTTTAAACACAGTGTGTAATTTCCAACACAAAGGATTGGACTTACCCAAAGTTTTGACTGTGCAACTCAAGGAATGACATAAGACTGGAGTTAGGTCCAATCATTTGTGTTGGAAATTACAACTTTCAAACTGCTTCATAATGACTTCTACCAAGACAGCTTAACTTTCAAGATAAGTAACAAATGCATTGCCATGGCCTTTTCTACTTTCATTTCAAACTATATAGACCATACAATAATAAAAAAAGTAGTGCAACTGAAGGGTGTGAGAATATTAACTTAAAGGTAAATAGATTTTAGGATATTAAGTGTTTGAAAAGTTGCACGGTCAAGTGTTTTATGACTTTGACATATATTTTATGCTAGACATTAGTCAACAAGGCGGGCCCACCACTGTTTCTTGTCACACTGATCTTTGTGTTCAAAGTGTGTCCTTTTGTTGATTTTTTATGGTGTAGTTTTTGCTTACAGAACTGGTTTTACTTCAGTATAACCAGCTACAATGTTGTGCAATGGCCAAGTTAAAAGTGCTTGCCTTGCATTTGGTAGGTCGTGAATTTGATCCCCGGCCAAGTCATACCAAAGACTTCAAACATGGTACATACTGCTTGCTTTCTCAGTTTAGCACTCAGCATTTAGAGAAAAATATGGGAGTTAACCACTACCAGTGGGCTAGCCCCCTGCTGTAGTGATTGCATGACTGTGTGGCCCAAGGGTCATAGAAACGGAGATGGGCACTGCCATATGTGACCATACTTATGGTTGTGGGGACTTAAACTGTTCCCAGGAACAACAGGCTGAATACACATCCAGCTTTCCTTTGATCTTGGTAGCTTACTGAGCGCTTTAGCTGTATTGATTTGTATTGATTGGAGGGATTAAGAGAATTATAGGATTTATGTAAACCTGTTAAGTATTATGCATTGTGGGGTAGAAAACAATCAAACTTGTTGTCACTAGTAATTTAAACTCAAATAATAATGATAATATAAAGAATATTGACTATTTCAAAGAAAGTCATCATACATATGTCTGTACCAAAATCATAGGTGGTAAGGTAAAAAGTAAGCATTTTATATTTCCTTTTTTATGGTTATATACTATAGATAGAAAACAAGTATAACATATTACAATGGCATGATACAAAGAAACAACTTTTTTGTACATTTAGGTATCTAACAGAAAAGTAATAAAAGCTACAATTCCTTATTTCCTGACTGAGCACAAGCAAAGTAAAATTGAAGATTTCTGTCATTTTGTTAGTCACAAAAATAGAAAGTTCTAGTTGTGTGGGTTATATCCTTGCGTAACAGTGTTTAGTGGCGCTTGGATGTAACAACTTTCATTTTGTTACATCGTAATTTGTTTGTATTACCTCCACTCCAAAGTGGGAACACAATGGCCAGGATACGCTGGTCTCACCCCCGACCCGCGACCAGGTATCGTGTTCTCCACGGCGCAACGCTGAATGGGCGTGGACAAAGGGGCAGGGGTAGGGCGCCTGTTTGGAAACAACTCGCTGCATTGTGGAGGTTTATTCTATGAGAGTTTAGGTTTCACAGGGGGAAGAGGATGTGGTCACACTGCCTAACACTAGTAACAGAATTAGTCATGGTGCAGTGGTGGGTGGATTTTTAAATGTTATGGTTAGTGGTAGGAAAAATCTTCCACCTGTTTTGACAATTGCAACAGGTAGCAGCCATACCGGATATTCAAATGCAAAAAAACATTGAAAGATTTCACACCACCATAAAGTATTACGAGCTGTTGTGAACTTCTTGTTTTATTAATAATTATGAATATACCGGGTAACTGGCAATTGAAGCCCAGAAATGAAATAACCTTTTATAGTTTTAGTTAGTTTAGTTAGTTTTTATCATTCACTTACTCCTGCCCTACTGGGGTAGAGTTTTTTTTTACCCCCAATTTGACCTTCCTGGCAGTCTGTAGTTACACCATTCACTTCTTGTCTCTCTAATGTATTCAAATAACTACAAACATACAGGCAAACACACAAACTTAGTCACCATACATAATGGTAGAATTAGTGTCCACTGTCAGTCATTTACTAGTAGTATTTTGCCAAAATGTCACAGCACAGTGCAGTAGTGGCAACAATGACTAGAACAAGAGGCACTAATTAAAAACCTACCAGAAAACTCACCAAAGCTATGATTAGATATCCATTAGATATTAATTCTGATATTTCTGAAAGTCCAAGGTATCTTTTAGCAGAACAGAATGTGTGGAATGGCCAAAGCACCACAATGTTAAAAAATATCGCAGATTTGAACTCTTCACACTTCTGCCCTACTTTTATGTTTTCCTTGGTCAACATTTTCCCCACATTGCTCGTTCTCATGTTAATTTCTCTGGTCCACACACTCTTAAATCATCAAGTTCTCTGTGTGCAGCACAAAAGCCTGTGAGGGCATTGTGATGGAGTTTTGATGGCCTCTTCATGTAACCATGGTTACCACTCCTCCAGGCTAACCATATCAGCTGGTACCAGCATTTATGAGCACTTCAGTAGGGCAAAATCTGGAGCTTCTGCAGCTTTAAAACACTGCAAAATGTAACAATGTATCAGGATGTTACAATACGTAGAGTCTTGCAGGGTTCAACTTTCTCAAAAAAGCTTCTGACACAATCTGTACAAAGATTTGACGACATGTTTTTGTTATGATCATTGGTATGTAACGAGTTCCCAACAACCATATGTCGCTGAATGACCATTGTGGGAAGCACATTTCCATATCTAAAAGAGCCTCAAACCCGCTAAAGTGGGGCGTGTATTAATGATAAGTGTTGGGCCAGGTTCACTTGCAACAGGATTATTGTATACGTGGATGTGTACATGTGTAGGTTATGAACGATGAATGGTTGTTTTAAGTACGACATAGCCACTATCATCAGGAGAAGATATGTGGGAGAGGTAGGAAACAATGTTTTAACCTCCATGCAGATATTTGGGTGACAGATGGTAACATTTTCTCATGAGTTGGGCTATCAGAGAAACCCAGCAGTCAGAAAATGTGACGATATGCACCCAACACCTGCTTGGAGATTAGGTGTGTCTTCTTGTATAAAAAAGACATAATGTCACTCACCAGTTTGGCACAATGTTTTATTCACAAATGCCAAACATTCTGCAAAAACTTATCTATTGATTGTATCTGGGAATGGTAGATGTCAATAATTCCAACTCTGCTGCTTTGTTACCGAATCAATGCATAAATCCACCAAGTATAAGGTATCAAACACAATTGTTTTGTGGTAAACAAGGTATTATAATACCAATTGGATGTTGGTCCTCTCTCAATAATGAAACAATGTATAATGTTTTTAAGCAGCTGTGATAATATGAAATTTGATGATGCCACAGTAACTCACTTTTTATTAAAGATTGAATATTTTGTTTCTCAGAGAGAAAAGGAGTCTGCTTATATCAACTTTGTTGGTGCTGTTAGCCTGCTGGATAGGGGGATCTACCATGAGGTGAGACTGTCTAAACCTCTATTATGTTTATACCCTTTCTTTTACAAAGTTTTCCTATCATTGCTTCGGTGAACCCGTCATTTGATAGAATCTCGTTTCTTAATGTTGGACAAAAATTTTGGCCAAACCGTCGATTTACAGACAAAATTGCTGTGTAATATTATCACAAAATCACTCAGTACTGTAATTTAGCTTGATTTTTTTTTCAGGAGCCCAACTTAAATGGACTAGAACCACCACAACCATGTCCACGGTTTATGAAGTAGGTTCATAATTCACGTTTTCTTCCGAACATTTTGAAAATACCATGTTGAAGGTTTTCATGTGATACAAAGGTCATATATTCTACATTGGAAATTTATAAGGGGAATTTCCATGATGTGCAGTCTTATTGCATCTTGTTCAATGTTTTATAACAATGGACCTTATGATTGTAATGATAATGTTTCAGCCACATGACCCAGTCTGTGCCCATCGGACCAGTGAATGCTGCTAAGTCAGTGAAGAGGATAACCAGTAACAGGTCTCCCACCATTCCCAAAACTCCCTTCACTGACCGCAGGAGAGAAGACCTACTGCCAAAGTCACTCACCAGACCTCCTCAAAGTGAGCTTTAGTTCTTATATTATAATTTTCACACTCTTGTATTATCTGTTTGTTTGCGTCATTTGGGGGACATACACTAATCTCCTAGTAGATCTTTCAGTACCTAGGACAGTATCCAATTGGCAAGACAGTATCTTGCATATTAGTTTCTTTCTTGCCTATTGAATACTGTCTTGGTTACAGAAAGACCCATAAGAATAAGTCACTGTAAGGGTACATTATGGTGTGAGTGGATCAAACCTACTTAGCAAAGTTTGGTCTTAAATGCAGCTCCTAACTTACTGTAACATACTTTCCGTGGTATAATTAGATTCGCGGAATTAGCGGGGACCTTTGTATCACAAATCTATTTCCCTGCAAACTTTAGGCCCCGCAAATTTAAAGATATTTACAGTAAGTCCCAATTCTTTGTAGTTAGTGTTGGAAGTGAAAGCTTAGTCTTTATTTCATAATGACTTGTACCAACACAGATGAACATTCATGCTAAAATGTGTTATGCCTTGAAGCTGTTTACTGGTTATGCAAAACAAGGAAACAAACAAAAGATATGTTTTATTGATGAGTTGCTTTTTTTGTACATTTGTATCATGAAGCTGTAAAACTTTGTTTTTCTGCCATTATTAGGATTTGTACGACAGAGAGTACCACATTATGATGACAGACAGGAAGTTAACGCTGAAGACGTGCTTCTGTCTGTACCTCGCTCCCCGCCGCCCAGTGTACAGGACAGCGAAGCGGCACGGGATGATGGGCTGGAGGAAGGACATGCAAGCTTTATGAGGTTTTACTGATAGAATATCTTCTTAGATTACTTAATACATTACATAATGTACTCAAGGCCAAGAAAAGGGGTTGGGGACAATGTAAGATTTAGCATTGGTGATAACAATGTTTCTAAATGACTGTGAAAAATTTTGTGAATGAAGGTAAAGGCAGAAGGTAGTCCCATAGCCTTTTTCAGATAGGCGTAGTAAGTTGTAAGTTAATACACTGTTTCAAGGGCACAGTATAGAACCCATCTCTCTCCTTCCACTGCCCTTTACCTTCACAACTAAAGTCAGGTACCCATTTTACACCTGGGTGGAGTGAGGAAAATTGTGTGAAGTGCCTTTCATTCTTTTAAGGTTGTTAAACTGTCTGTCTTCTCTCCCAGCCACAGTGACACCCTGCACCGCCGTGAGGAGCTAGCAGACGTGGAGAGCCTGGGACTCACAGCAGGTGACCCCGAGGATGATGGGATATTCTCCATGTTTAGCGGTTACCATGGTGATATGGTGAAGCGTGGCAGTTCGGGCGGTGCAGGTGCAGGTGCAGGTGTGAGTTCAGGTGGGAGTGACTCGGGTGGCAGTGAGGAGGAGGAGGGGGAGCTGCAGGTGTCAGCAGGTGCAGAGACAGGTGGTGCAGGTGGCGGGATGGGGGTGACATCACTTGGTGGTAGTGTCAAAGGTGATTTGCTGCACACTACAGTAATGATCAGTTTTTCAAACAGTGTGATGGTGGTGTATAGTACATGTAGATAAAACGATCTGCTTGCCTAAAATACTAGTACTATGAGGATGTCATTTCCTATAGCCACCAATTGAACTGGTTTAACAGGTGGTTATAGGAAATGACCAGGCCTTATACACCAAGCAATTAAATTTAATGGTATTATCATATAGATATAGCCCACCAAACTTGGCAAATGTAGCGACATAGCAATCTATGCTGTGTATTATAAGTCCTACATGTTTATGATGTAGGTTTAGAACAGCATTAACAAAGTTTATATTGGTCAATGTCTTCTGGCTATATGAAAATACATGCAGTGTGTTAACTTCTATCTATTAAACAGGACTTGAATTGTTACACGCCATCCTGAAGGACCTCCTGGGCTCCACCCCTGTGGAGGACATAGACACAGAAGTGCTGAAGACAACCCTGAACAGCCACCTGGAGGACTGTAACACCTGTACTCACCTGGTCAGACAGGTGGTCAGGAGACAGCTGGGGCCTGTACCGGATAACTACCTGATGTCTGGACTAATCAGCATTCTGCCTCTCCTGTCCGCAGGCAGGTTTCCATGGTTACCAAATTCCTGGTGCTGATTGGTGGAGGGACCTGTCTCTACTCTTTCAGTCTCTACAGCAAAATTTCATCTTTTTTCCCCACGGGACCGAGACTGTTGACAGCTCAACCAATGACAATGAGTAACCAAAAATCATTGGTCATTGAAAGATCATTGCAAAATCATTGGAAGACCTTTTGAGAAGTGTCAGCACCCATTGAAAGATCATTGAGCAAATTTTCTTTTTTGAGGTTCTTGGAAGACCTTTTAGATCGTTGAGCAGTGATCACTGATTAAAAGAATGTTGATAAAATATCAAATTTTACTTTTTTTGGAGGCTCAATAGTCTTGTATCTGTGGAATCCTCTCTAACTTTGCTTCAGACATTTTACAGAGCACAATGGAAGGACTTCCTGGTTTACTAACAACTACTCATTTTACTTCGTATAGTTCAGCTTTTCTTTCAGCTCAGGAAATCCTGACTCGCCAAATGATGCAAGCACACAATCATGCACATACTGTTCTTCCTATCATCTATGGTGTAACTATGTTATTAGGGATAGAGAAGACTACATTCTATCTCTTCATGTAATCTAAACCTCAGGAGGAAGTGCCAGATCCCAGCTATCTCTCCCCTCTGATCATGATGATTGGAGTCAGGAGGGAGAGATGTCAGGGAGGGAGAGGAGAGGTATGGAGGATGAGGAGACAGAGGAGGGGGTGTCACTGTCAGGTGGTGGTCATGGTGGGACAGATGGAAATAATGGTGAAGGGGAAACTTGTGGTGAAGGGATGGTGCAAGGAACAGCAGGGGAAGTACATGGTCTGAAGGAAGAGGAAACATTGAAAGGTCAGTATAATGTGTATAATATTATGATTAACTGAACCATGCGAAAATGAGCGATATATTAGACGTAAAACAAGGACAACAACAACAACATAATATGTGGTTTAGAATTATACTGTTCTTCTTCAAGAAGTTATTTGCATTATACTGATACCTGTCTATCTATCTATCTATCAATCTATGTTGAAATGTCTACGTAAATTGCAGACCTGTGACAGGACAACAGCAGCAGAATAATCAAATACTAGATACCCCCCTTCTGCTCCAAGCTTTCCAGTTTAATACCAGTATTTTTGACATTATGTGACGTGTACTATTGAGTACACACAGCACCATCTAGTGACAGCAATAAGAACTACACCTTTATGCCATCTGAAATCAGTATTAATGAATTTTGAAGTGTTGAAGTTTAAATGTTTCATTTTAGGCAAGTATTACAACTAGAATTGTAAACACTTAGTTCAAATTATGAGTTTGATATTGACAATCTTTGGTATTATTTTCAAAGTCTAATTTTCCAAAAATATTGTCAAATACATGTACCATCAGGAAAGACCAGACACAAAGAAATGCTATAATTGCAATATTCAGATGATCCCATCAACTGCAGGAATCAATCAGTCAACCAATTAGCAGATCGATCAGTGACCTTTATTTAGACTGGGTCATCCTTCTAGAGGTCCAGTGGGAGCCTGTTACTAAGCAACAATTGTTCAGATCACTTCGAAAATAACGTCCAGTGACCTTCGGGCAGGGACACTATCTCCAAGGAGTTTTGTTGGGGTATACAAAGTCATTTTGAGAATCCTTTCAAGTCGAGTTTGTTTCATGTCTCTGCCTTGTTCATACAAAGACCTTGTTGGTCATGGTACTAGGTAGGTAGGTACTCTTTTGCAAGCACGTCGACAGAACGCACCACACCTGCGCGTAACCCGTAATGTATTGTACATAGCACTTTGCAAGAATGTCTCATATATATAGAATACAACACGGTGTATTCCGCATCGCCCTCGGTCCCGGCCCGACCGCGGGTCGGATTGCCCGACGGCCGCCCGTTATCGAACGTTATCGCGGCCCGGGTATGATATAAAAGGTCGTATTCGTGCATTTAAGGAAAACATTTCGTCTGTAGCTTCCAAATGTTATGTTGGAAAATATATCCTCTGCAACAGGCAAAATTCTGATGCAACATTGACCAAAAATCCACCAAAAACCGTGAAAATACAGGGTTCTGCGCAGGCGCAGTATGTTCTGCCGATGTGCTTCTTTTGCACATGGCAAGGGCCGCTTGTACGTCTAAGATTGGTTTGTTATGAGGGTTAGATATGCATAAAGTTGATTTCAAAAATGTTAATGGATGAAAATGAAGGTCAACCCTTTGTTTTGCTATATATGACACAGTTGAATGCAGTGTAACATTGGGATCAGGAGAACTTCAGTCTGTAAACTATTGTAAATGAAATAGATTATTGTAGTGAGTGAGTGTGAGTGTACTTTTGGTTTTTTTTCACCACAGACAGTGCAGCCAAGTCTAAGAAAGACAGGAAGGAGAGAAGAAGATCTTCTACCATAGCTGAGGCTAATGAAGATAAAGTGAGTACAGATTCTTTTAAAAACTGCACCAGGAGTCATTTCAGATTGGTTTTATCATTTTTATTTGCCAAACTACAATGTTTATTAAATATTGTAGCTCTCACCATAAAGCTCTAACAATGATTCTAGCTCACTCAGTAAACTGTGCATTTACACATTTACATAATTATACTTACAATATATTAGCACTACACTGTGACAGTTGTTTCTTCATCTTTCTTGATGATTGATGTATGACATTTTCTTTAATTCACTCCAAGGCACCAAAGTCTATAATGAAGAAGACCAAGACCCAGCCCAGAAGAGTGTCAGCCCCACGTGTTACCATAGAAACAGACCAGCAGTCCTCCATGTCTCAGCAGACTGACACAGAGGTGCCCACTGCTGTGGAGGACTATCCTATAGAGGAAGAGTTGGAGTCTGTTTCAGAGGTCTCCACCATTGAAGTACCACAACCCAAGTTTATACTAGACAGTAAAGGTTAGCCCATCTCAATATATATGATATTAATTGTCCACACTATGTATTGTAGCCCCAGGTAAATTTACTCTCCAAGCAGAGGTTGTAGGGGAATGATCGTTACTTTTTTATATATGGCCGTTTTTTTTTGTCGCTACCCCCACCAACCCCGTCGGTGGCTGCCGACCTTCTCTGGCAAATGGATACTGCCTGGCCAATTTGATACTGTCTTTTTGCCACCGATAGGGATCTGCTTCGAGATTACAGGTAATTGTGACTTTTCTTTGATGGTGACTATTGCTTCAGTTACAATGTTACAATTTGCAGTTGGTACAATTAGAAAATGCATAACACTAAATTTGTAGGAAGGTCTTGGTCAGATTTTGCTGTGAGTAACTCAGCCATCCAGGCTTTTGTTCAAGATGTGTATTCCTTTTTATCTCTGTCAAAGCAGGCTACTAGTATCTAGTATATAATCATTGTGTTAAATTAAAAACAGTGGCCATCAAAGACGTTACAAAATTGCTGAATGTTAGTAAAACTAATCATCCACTCAAAAAAGACAAGCTTTTTCTAACACCCATTGATTGAAGAAAGCTGGAACATAGTACATTCTTTTAAAACCTTTTCTTAGCTATGTCTTGTTTTTGTTTTTTTATGGACTGTCTGAAATTCTGAAACTTGTCTTCACTTCACTTACATGTAAATTATTCATACGTTTTGGAATAATACCTGTTTGACTACATTTGTGTACAAATCCCATTCAGCTGATAGGTTTCAAAATCTATCCAGTTGCTTGAGTTTTATTAATGTATAAAGTTTTTGATACAATTGTAATTATTTTTGATAATTGCTGTTACCCGCGGTAAGTCATCTTCATGTGGTTTTGTTGGTCAGATGAGAGAAAGATTTGTCTTTATTCACATGTCTAATGCAATATAAGTCTTGGGCTTAGAATTCAGTAATTTTGTCCAATTTGTTTGAGGGTCAGAGATGAGTGTTGAATCAAACCAGCTGTATGACCAAAGGCTATTTGGTCACTACCCACCTGAGTAAACAATGCAGGTGTTCTTACCTGTCTTTGCTGCCATTTACACACCACAGCGTTTGTCTGTAAACATCATTTTTTTCACTTAATGAAATCTGTATTTCCTGTTAGCATATTGCTGACCCTCATTTTGTATGTAATGATAGTTTGAGACTTTATAGCATGTTCTTTTGATAGATTAGTCCTGAGTCATACTGGGTACTTTTTAGTCCAGGGTACATGTACATGGCAGATGTAGCTTTAATTTGCATCTAGTGTTGATTCTGTATCATCTAGAGAGTGTGTCTGATTGTGGTCAATTGTAGTCAGCTGCTGTTTTGCATACCAAGGTCTGAAGTGTTCTTTACCCAGAGCGTATGTGCCATCTCTGTTTGCATGATCCAACAGGTAAGAAGAAGGGTCGGGACCTGAAGTCAGATCATGCCTGCAGACAGAAGTCTCCCAAAGTCTTGGACGTGATCTCACTACGCAGCCCGAAATCTTAGCTGCCATTTTATACCAAGGTCTAAAATGTTCTTTTGTGCCATCTCTGTTTGATCCCAGGTAAGAAGAAGGGCCGGGACCTGAAGTCAGACCATGCGTGCAGACAGAAGTCTCCCAAAGTGTCAGCCGCGATTTCCTTACACAGCCTGAAGCCGAGAGACACAACACTGTTTTTAATTGAAGTTTTCTTATGTGCCATCTCTGTTTGATCCCAGGTAAGAAGAAGGGCCGGGACCTGAAGTCAGACCATGCGTGCAGACAGAAGTCTCCCAAAGTGTCTGCCGTGATCTCCCTACGAAGCCCGAAGCCGAGAGACACGACGCTCCAAGACGAGCTTCGTCGTCAGCAGCTGGCTGAGGAGAGGAGGGCGAAGGCAGCGCAGATGTTTGAGAAGCTGAGGAAGAAGCCGACAGACAGAGGGGATGAGATGGAGGAGGGGGAGAGGGACAGGGCACTGCAGCAAGACTTTAAAGACTGTGAGTTAGATAGCTTTCAACACTGTTTAGAGTTAGATGCTCAAAGGTTAGGTGTTAACAAGTCATTTGGTGTAATTTAGCCAGCCTGTGAAGCTGGTGTGTTACACCAAAGAGCGTTATACCGGCTATACCGATACAGTTTTCTTGTAATGTGTTGTACAGCATTAGATATTAAACAATATGTTACAATTTTCAAATCAGTCTCTTTTCTTGTATTGTGTTATAATTGTCTTGATGTCTTATTTTGTTCCAGATGGTTTCCTCTCGAAATATTGCATCTTTAACAAGGACAAACTGAAGATGTACCGGAAAGCTTTTGATGCTGTAAGTCCAATTTTTTCTCACTGAAGGTTTTACAATCTTTTTCATCTCATCATTAGCTAGCAGTAGCCTCTCAGCTACACTTCCCTTGTATGACTACTACTGTACAACTGAATTGTTTCAACTGCAAATTTAAAACACAGTCAATCCTCTCTTTCCTTCCTGCCTAAAAATAATACCAGTAAACTGTATTGCCATGAATTGTAATTTGTTGTCTGATTACAGGTTGATGAAGACAAAGATGGGTACCTGTCAGGACAGGAGGCTCTGATGGCCCTGAAGGGTGTGGTGTACTCAGGGGCACTCAATGATGCAGAGGAGTACTATGTCTACAGGGTAAGGACTTCACTCTGTAATGCATGTACATACTTATTAGAAACATGCACTGTGTGTAGTATTCTAGTTCCAGTATGTTTTTCTGTAAAAACATGTATTTAATAATCCATTATTCAAATTTTGTATACTTGCACATACAAACTTTGAAGCAAGTTTGAAGTATTCTATCAAAGCCCAGGTTGTACATAAAGTACAATCATGTGTTTTATATTTTACTTTTCTAGAGAATCAATATTTTCTCCTTCCTATGTCCAGAAATTTTTAAAATGTGTGAAAGCGTCAGTTTTGTGGTCAAAACCAGTTTTGGAGTCAGGAATTTTAATTTCTTCATCTTTTAAGAGTACCAATAGAGTAATGCATACATTTATTTCCACACTGCTTCTATTGAACAATGCAGATTTGTCCACAAGTAAGTATTCAGAATTTACATTTTGTGTTTTTCTTTTTCAAAAAAATTTTATATTGCACAGTTCAATGTCAGACTCTGGGTAAGTTGATGTGAACTAAGAAGAATTTTTTTTCTAACACCCTTCTCACTTTAACAGATACTGGAGCTAGCAGACTACAAAGTTACAGAAGGAGCAGACTTCAAGTTATTTGCAGTGATGTCAGCTCTGTCTCAGAGAATAGCTTCTCTAGAGTAAGTATGGAAAGGCTTTAATGTCTACCATTGTAGAATCTAACAGCACCAGATCAGTCAATAGGATGTTGAAGTAAAACTGACATACATTTTTGTACATTACTGGCAAAAGCACAGCGAAAGCAATAAAATGAAAATAATATGTAAGAATATACTAGTAGTAAGATTGAAAATTTTGAATGCATTACCTATTGTAAGGGTGTCAGTTATAATGTGAATATCTGTTGTTTTTCTCTGCAGCAATTTTATGAAAGATCTGATCAGAAAGCTAGACTTCAAGTCTCTGGAGTACAAGATGTTTCGTCTAAAGGTTTGTTCCAAAATATCAAAACATCTCATGTTTAAAAACATCTCGTTTCTTACATTTGTGTCCTATCTTCTGTCACTCTGTGCACTCTGCATGTAGTACAGTAGGGCTGTCATTTACATTTTCCATGGTGCTGATATGCCTTCCAATGGTTGTACAGTTAGAAATCCTGGCTTTGAGGGTTTTGACAGATATCTGTAGATTCTGTACATACATTTGTACAAGGAGGCCTATTCCTTCACATGACACATGTAGAATGTAGTCTTTTTTGGACTTAATGATAAACGTAGAACGGTTTCAAGTCATATTAATTGAGCATTACATACATTACACGTTACCTGTTTTTCCTTTTTAAAGCAGTTAGTTAAAAGTTCCTGTGTGCATCATACATGTTTAGATCTGATAACAAATTCTCATTTCTCATATTTCTCGTTAACCACAACAATCTGCCATTTCAGCAACTGTTCCTGTGTAACGTGGACCCCTCGTCCAATCGGATTCCCCTGGAACATCTCATGTTGGAGCTGCAGGCAGGGGGGGTCAGCATGGAGCACCAGAGAGAGGTCCGGGCTGAGCTGGCTCACCTGGATAACCTTGACCTTCTGGACTTCCTGGCCTACGTGCCGCTCTTCATCATGATCCACCAGTCTGTAGTCAACAACCCTTTTGATAACCAGTGGAATAAATAGTTTCAATGTCAGTTGAGCATGTCAGCAGAACGTACTGCACCTACGTAAAATCTGCAACAGGCAAAATCTTAATGTAAAGTTGAGCAAAAACCCAACGAAAATCGTAAAAAATATGGGTTTTAGGCAAGCGCAGTACATTCTGCTGACAACTTGTCAGTTGTATACATCTACAAGCATAATTCTGTCAGGTCACACATATCTGCTACTTTGAAAAGTTACATCTAAAGAGATCTCCAATATAATGCAATGTCTCCAGGTACATAATGCACTCTTAATATGTAAACTGTGCATACCTGGGGGTGCTGTACTAGAGATCTTTCAAACACAGTGTTTTTTAAAGAGCCAGGTATATGTAACCTGGCAGACAAATGTTATTGAATGGACGTTATGTTGTAGTCACATCAATATGTGTAGTCCCTTTCTTATTCAGTTTTAGCAGGGCTAGAGCAGGCTCATAGGTCTGGGAGCTTTAGATTTAAAAGCGTAAACATATAGTATACATAGTGGCATATAATATTAACATTGTAATAGGTGAAATTTTACTACTCAAGGCCTGTTTTAGTTCAAGTAGATCTTTCATACCTGTTTTGTGGGATCTGTAAAAGGGGCTTTAAGAGAAATTTCTCTGACTATTCAATTAGAAGTTCAATTTTTACCATGTCAAAGGCTGTCTGTCACACCAAGAAGGTTATTTAATCTCCTTGGTCACATGTACCGGTATGTTATAGTTTAATATCCACAGTTCTGATCATCAGGCCACTGTTTGTTATCAATCCAGTTCTGGTCTCATGTACTGTATTCAGACATCTTGAAGATGTTATTTACTTATCTTGAACTTGTCATGGCATTTGCAACCTTGTTGACGAAAAAATTTTCACGCACTTGTTACTCAATGGAAAATGTGAGAAAGGCATTTTATCTGTAAATATTTGCAATATTTCAGGATATCACTATCTGAGGATATTGTTATATTGTCAAATTTTCAGGCATGTAAATGGGGTACATTGTTTATGAAAAGTGAACGTAGAATATATTATCAGTTATAACAGTGAAAGGAATAAATGACATTGTTGCATTTTACAGTTGGTTTTGTATATTCTGTATCAAAGAAACATGACATTGTCTATCTAGTTATCTTGGGAAAAGGATCATCACTTGCTTTATGTAACATGGCAAAAATAAACAGTGAACAAATGTTATATCAGCCTCTCTGTCTGTCTATACTGGTACAGTACTTGACCAGACAACAGACTTCACCCCCTTACCCAATACTTCTTTACTAGTCGTTCCTATGATTCAGTGGAACTAGTACCTCCACAGCTTCCTAGCAGCAATGTCCCCATCACTGAGACACAAAACCCATGGTGTACAATATTGCATGATTGTGAAAAATAATGTATCACTGCAAAATAAATATACAGTCTTGTACAAAAAAATGAAGATACTAGAAGTACATCATGATGATACCTTATAGTGCATACTGTAAAAGGACTTTTGAAATACGTGTATCAAAATAAATCAACCTCCAAATTGCTCATAATTTGACGTCAACAGTGGTATGAAGTCTTTCTAATAGTTACTGTAGTTTTTCATTTATACATTCATTGGAAGTTGTTGTTACATTCGCCTTGTTTGGAATGTTTTCTGGTACAGGATGTTTACTTTGAGGCTTTAATATGGTAAAGTTGAGTCTACCACAGGATACCTGCCTCTATTTTCATTTTTCTACTACATTACCTTTCCACAGTACAGTATGTCACAGAGAACTTAGAAATTAATTAGGTGTGGCCTAGCATGACAGTTCATCTGAGTTGGTAAATTACATAATGTGAACTAAACTGTTCTCCAACTGAATAAATTTACCAACTGAATCCTGTCTTCATTTTCCTTTCTAACCCTGAAGACACGTGTGACACGTGCACTGGGTCAAATTGGTTGAAAAAATCCAGTGAGTAAATTTCTGAGTTGGAGAAGAGTTCAATTCTCATTGTAGATGTGGCCTAGTCTAGAAGTTAAGATCTAGTATGGCCAGAGCTGGTATCCCAGGCGCGGCATTGTGAGGCTGATGATGACACATGTCACCAGGTTGACTCCGTGGTTGTCCAGCAGGGGCAGCCCACTGATGTGCTTGGTTGTAGGGGACGGATACTGGACAACCTTCTTCTGTTCATCACAAAAACCTTGGAGAGCAAAGAGGCATGGAAGAGGTGAAATTACCTCAAATTTTCCTTTAATACTTAATAAAGGGCAAAGCACTGGAAAGTTACAATGCAAACAATAATGACAAGGTTAACACAATAAGATTACACAGTTCCAAATTCTTTATACATTTGCTATGAACTAAAGATTCAAACCTACTACAGCTCCCTACACCACACTGTGGCTCTCTTTGGAAGTACAGTGGCCTTTTGGCACTAAATTTGTATTGGTTACAGGGCTTAAGATAGCAGGGAGAAGGTTAATTTGCATCTGTGTAATGTGTCCTTACATCTATACATGTTAAAATCACGTGCCTGCAATATACTACACAAAAATATTTACCAGGCAACAATACTTCAATCATAGTTTTGCAAGTAATAAATACCCTTTCCAGAATACTAAAGCAATTAGCTTACCGGAATATTGCAGTGTGGCCCCAAGAAAGGAGTCCAAGAGTGATCCCAGCAGCCCTGAGGCTCCAGCATACAGAACCATGGGCCACTGGTACACACTGTCAGACAATGGCTCATTGGCTAACAGCATGGTGATGTAATAAGCCACGCCCACTGCCACGCCCCCCATCAGGCTACAGGCTAGCCCAACTCCCGTCACTCCACCATTGGTACCTGTACAAGCAACAGGGTAGCATTGTTACTTTGAACTCTAGTATTACACACTAAACTAACACTCTTAATCGAGAAATCACTTGTTTTCATGATGGTATCTGTATCTCTGTATAGTCGGTATAACACTTCTATGATATTTCTTGGAAAACACCTCAATCCTTAGTTGATAACTCAGATACTAGTATGTGATTTCTTTTTCAAGCTGGTGATACTTACTAGTTGGTACATCTACCAGTTTATTAGTCATTTTGTACATCATGCATAGTCTGGACATTCATTGTCAGAGATACTAGGTTTCCTTTAATTTCCGTGAAACTAGCACTCTTTTCATAGTTGCTCGTACAGAGTCTCACGGCTTGATTCTGTTACTACAAGACAAGGCCTGCAAGTTTTTCTAGTAATGCCAACCTTTTGGTACAGGCTTCCATGTGGTGATGAGTTTAGGCTCTCCTCCCAACACTGTCCCCAGTTCTGATGACAGGGTGTCGCCACAACTACTGGCCAAACCTGCTACAACAGCCAGCACCAGCCAACACGTGTTATATCTGGGCATATAACAAGCAAAATAAAAATGTTAAAGAGAAGAGAAAAACAACCAGCTTATGATCCATGTAACATTTGTGTCCCCTTTCACTGTACATAGACAAACATTTATACTGAGTGCACTTTATGCGGGGTTGATTTTGCAATAGGAGAGAAGAGGTTTTCATGTTGTTTTTGAAGTTTGTGGTTGAAATGATTCTGTAGTACAGTAGAAGTATAAAATACATATTTGCAGGGTTAATTCTTGTAATTTACAGTAAGAGGTAACTGAAAAAAACAATACAAATTTAAAAGAAACACAAAAAATTAAACCATCATGAAGTTTCTTTTATTGGCAGAAATCCATTTAATAATTAAGAGTTAAACTATAAAAAAAGGATGTTTGAAGATCTGACCTGGTACATCCTCCTTCGCAGGGCTAAAATCCTCCGGTTCCCTTCCGGTTTTAGCCCTGCTATTTACCGCTGACAGTTTGACTTTTGGTGACGTCACTTATAAATAATTCATGAGCTTGCCTTATTTGGCACAAACCAATCAGATGTCGGGGGGCTTGCCCTAACTCTGTCTCGGCTTTGGCCAGGGCTTTGGCCGCTGCTGGGAAGCCCATATAGCACAGGCTCTTCCCTCCTCCTGTCCGCACACTCAGAAAAACGTCTCTGCCATCAAGCAGCGCCCGTAGCGTCGACTGCTGATGCTCACGAAGCCGCTCGACTCCAAATAAATCTTGCACGGCTCGCACGAAACTTCTAGTATCTGTAATAGCCGCCATCTTGGCCTGTCCCAACATGTAACCTGATTGGCTAATAGGTTCCCAGCGACCTTTGCGGTTTTTGCGCAAAGCTCGGTGCGCAAATTCTCTGATTGGCTGACAGCAGTTTGGCGGTGACGTCACCAGAAGTCAAACTGTCAGCGGTAAATAGCAGGGCTAAAACCGGAAGGGAACCGGAGGATTTTAGCCCTGCGAAGGAGGATGACCTGGTATTGAAGTCAATGACAGTCTCTCCTGGGTGGAACTCTATCATGTACAGAATAGCCAGCTCTGTAGCAACACCTCCATTACACAGCACCTGGATCCAGTTTCTCTGGCCACCTGCAACACAAACAGGTGCACAGCTGAAATACACAGCTGAGAGGACCATTTAAAGTTTAGACATACAGCTGCCCCCTCAACATAATCTCTTAAGCATTTATCTTGTGTTTAGTCCCCAGTATCTTCTATAAATGTTGGCTGTACAAAGAATAATGTGTTTTTAACCTTTGGCACACTGACATAGCCAGCTGGCTACCAATGCTCTATTGGCTATGGAGTTTGGCAGCATGGAGAAGGTTAAGCACACATTGCTCAATACCAATGAATAATACCAAAATCTTTTTGGTATACATGTGCCATTTAAAGATTTTTGAAATCATTGTATGAATGCATTGTGTTAATTTGTGTATTACTCTAAAATACACAACATACTAGTACCTTCTTTGAAGTCCTCTTCTAAAGCCCTTTTCTTCTCGGCCTTGTACTTGGTTGCCCATGACGATATCCCAAAGAAGGCCAGCAGACAGGAGAAGAAGCACAGGTTGCTGACAGTCAGGATAAAGCCTACTACAAATCCTGCAAGGGCAGAAAATCAAAGTATGAGTCTGTATCATTAAACAAGCATATTATATAAACTCCCTCAATATATTTACCATTAATCTGAATCAAGTCAAGTCAGCCAAAGCCCATCTCAAAAGCCCTTGGGCAACTCATCTTTGTACAATCATTTGTGACAGCAGGGAGTTACTGAGTAGTCCAGTATTGGTGGTGTTTCACTCGAATGCTCTTTCCCAAATGCTAAGTGCTTTAAAAAAAGGCAGAGACAACAGTATGTGTGTACCATAATGATAATAATGTAAAAGTCCTTGCTATGACTTGGCCGGGATCAAACTCACCACCTATCAAATGCAAGGCAAACACTCTACTGCATGATTGGCTATGGCACCAGCTATTCAGTTGGTACATTCATACATTTGAGACCTACCAGAGAGTGCACCACTCATGTCCAGACTTTTCTTCTTTAGACCTTTGACAGTGATGAACAGAGGTGCAAGAATAGCAAACAGCAGCCTCCATGGAGAGATGGGATACAGTGTGCCTGGAACACAATACAGCAGACATTCATTATATTCGCAATATATAGCAATATATAGCTTTAATATTACATGTTCTTACTCTCTCTCTCTCTCTCCCTCCCCCTTTCTCTCCCTTTCCCCCTCTCTCCCTGTGTTATACTGGCATACAAATCCTCAGTACTGTACTCAATGGTGCACTTGAGTTCTGTGTGTGGGGGTGAAGTCTGCCAGCTTGGTTAAAATGAAAAATGCGATGGTGACACTTAAGTATCTCCGCCCGTGTTGTCGATAACTAAACGTCACAGGCATATACATTGTACTAGTAGTAAGAAAATATCGAAAGTGAAACAAAATAGAGGAAGTGTGGTAAAACCGCCCCCCTCCCCCACTTGGAGTTTTATAAATTTAAAAAAATTATGACACTCATACGACAGCATAAACGTTAAAATCTAAGGGATGTGGACAGCAAAACAACCTACCGTCATACGCAGTGTTCATGAAGAGTGACACCACCCATATGGACAGGGACAGGGGGATGACCAAACTCAGGACCAGGATGAACAACATGGCGAAAACCTCGTCCGACAAACCGGGTCGCGGTTTGACCCCTATCCCCTGGTTATCGACCGCTCTCCCGCCTGCCATAGGCCGTCTTCTGGCGTCCTCAACATGTGAAGAAGCATCCCTCATGCTCTAACAACGGTATAGCCGAAGTAGTATGACTCCAGGACACCCATACGTGACCGCACATACGCTGTTAACTATTTCATTTGCACAGCGACATGTAGTACAGGCTGTGATACCGCACACGAGCCGGGTAATTAATTATGTAACCTTTGACATTTAGCGCGGGAAATGCAAAAGCTGACCATGCTGGCTTATAGGGACCACCAATTTGACGCAAATATTAACTTGATTATGCAAATTAGCTGCTAATTTGCATAATTATCATGTGCTAAGCATCATTTCAGCCACCTACATACCAAATTGCTGAATTTTAGGGACCACCAAAAATTATTTAATTATAGGGACCACCCAAAATTGCTGAATTTTAGGGACCACCAAAAATTGCTGAATTTTAGGGACCACCCAAAATTGCAGGGACCACCAATTCAACACAAATATCCATTTTATTATGCAAATTAGCTGCTAATTTGCATAATTACTTTACTTACATATGCATAACCATAGTATGTAGCCTGGTATCCACCCATTTAACTCCAATCTGTTCATTTGATTTCTTCTCAAACATATAGGTATTCGACAAGCTTTGTGTTTTTCACCTATTAAACAGCTAATGTTATGACCAAAACACAGAATTGAACAAGGAGAAGTCGTAGACATCGTCCCTCCATGAAATAGCTTGTTATTTTGTAATCTTTTGGTGTATTTTAATAGAGATATTATGAGTCAAACTTTGTTTTTATCAGCAGAATGATAGATGTCTATAGATGTCTATCCTTTAAGAATTTTGTTGTGGCACTTCGTATTGTCATGTTGTCAAGCTGTCATGTGCAGGTGTTTAGTGTCTTGTTACCATGGTTTGTTTGAGGTCAATGACCTCTCAAGCACAACATATTAACAAACCACAGATGACCCAGTTCCCTGCTGAATGACCGATTAAAGATAAGATATATTTCCTGCAGACATGGTCTAGAGGTAAAAATAGATTGGCCTGACCTGCCAGCTGGAGGTATAAACAAAAACACTCTGTACCAATTTGGGGTCAAACAGACCATCCTATTATGAAATAGGGGTGAAAATGTGAAAATCCTTTTAAATAAGCAATGCAAATCTACGACAACCTGCTAATGCACGCTAAAACGCAAAGACAGTCAGCGTCTACCCACATACCAAAAATGATCGCCAACCATCCACCGGGTTCTGAGATCATTCAACGCAAACAATCTGACATTGAGATAGCAATTTCGGTTCAAAGCAAACAGCTAGGGGGCCCAAATTTACATCAGTAAACCATTGTAACCACAACTACATGCTACCTTAGCATCGCACACACAGACCATAACGTGCCAACAATAGAATAAAAAAATTAAACTGCAGTACCAAGGTCAATCACCAGGTGCTCAAAGTCAACCTACACAATCTCCAAGGCCCCATCCATCAATCTGCCAAATATCATACAGTTCCTTCTCACCGATCTTCAGATATCAGACCAAACATGAAACGGAGTAAAAACAATACCCCCCATTTACATGGAGGGTAAAAACAGTGTGATCAAGACTGTGAAACAAAAGTTTATTGGAACAAACTTGATGTATCATTACGGATGATATCATGCTAGAAAGTACATGTGATGCTGTTCCTATAGCTATAGTCTACATGTAATGTCTAACAGTAACTTACTACAGCTAACTATGTAAGTAGACTAGTGGTGAGGTTGTAGCAATACTGAACAACTGAACTTTTGTTCAAAGACATAATTCTACACTATATACATGTACTAAGTAATGTCTTTGGTTAGTTATATAGAATACATGAGCAACTGCTGGCAACTAACACTTCTATATCTATTGTGCACTGAAATAGCTGCAGTTGCAACTTAAAAATACAGCTGATGTTGGGCAACGTAACAGTTACATGTACGTACTAATAGTACATGTAGTAACAGGTGGTAGATTAATTCAGAATGGAATTGAACCTTCTTGGCTTATGAAGCATAACCTACACCGGTGTGCAATAACATAGATAGTACATAATGTGATGGAATGAGCCTCAGATATTGTCAAAAACATATTGCCAAAGTCCCTTGAATTCTCCAGTTGGCTACGGGAATGCTTCGTTGATCGCCTGCACGACACATGAAGGAATGGCGCTTCCTACACATTTCTCGTTCATGTTGTGGAGAAAATACGAGCAATTACTGTACGCCTGGAGCCAATAGGCTCCGTTGTCGATTTCTGGGGCTTCATAATCATCATCGTCATCATCATCATCGTAACTATCATCTTCTTTTAGCTCTTCTTCCAACGCCTTCTTCTGGACCATGAATATTTTCAACAAGTCCTTGTCGAGGACGAGCTGTTTGAATCGGTCGTGTTCTGTCAGACACAGGATGTCGTTTCCCACCCCCTTCTGCTCAGCTTCCACCAAGTCGTGGCAACACACGCTCTCGTGTACAGTCGTCATCTGTCGGCATTTCCCGCCACACCGACACCACACGAAGTGCTTCAGCCTCCACTTGGCGGTCTTTTCATCGAGCTGGTCCCACTCTCGGATGGTGACGGCCGCGATGGTCTCCGGTTCGGCCGGCGGGGAGAGACAAGCATCGTCACCACTGCCCCCCTCCCCACTCTCTCCTGAGTCTGGAAGGTACGGCTCGAAGTTGTAAGGGATAATGTTGTTGGGGTCAAAGTTCTTCTTAAAATACTCCCAGCTCTCCATGACGTTCTACTTTTGCCCAGAAGTGGCTACAGAAGACCCTAAACACGCAAGTGTGCTGACTTCCCGGCCTTTCTTCTCAATCCAAGGACAGTCTAAACGTCGACGTCGTGCTGGCGTGCGCGAGTTGGGTGCAGATCCTGAAGTAGTCGCTAGATGGCAGTGTCGCACGGTAAACAAAACCACTCAAAAAGAGTAGGGTAGAGTAAAGACTGCTGCCTTTCTTGGGAGGAGGAAAACGATGTCTTGTCGCTCTTGATTTTTGGTCTTCTCCTTCTGTTAGCGACGTTTTCCTCCCCGCCTTTTTACTTCTTTTTGTGGTGTGCACAAAGTGATCAGGCATCAAGTAATGATGTCATTCAAGTATCATTGCAAGGAGATTACGTTGTGTATGCATGTGTATGTGGATCATAAGGCTACATCAAGTTGATATAATGGATCACATGTAAGCTGACATTTTCCAAGAAGATAAAAGCACTTTTTCTTTCCTTTTCAGATCCTAAAGTGTTTGGGCCCAGGCAAGGAGGACCTTGGCTCGGTGTGCATGACAAGGCTCTTTCTTCCCCCTCACTAAATGATCAAAAGATCTATAAATGAAAATCTTACATTAGATAGACATAACCATATTGGTATGTACCCTGGTATCCTTTGCTTCTCAAACATACAGGTATTGACAAGCTTCGTGATTTTCGCCTAACAGATAATGCTATGACCTGTATGTTCATGTAAAACAGTGTGATCAAGACTGGGAAACAGAACTTTATTTGAACAAACCTAATGTATCATTAAGGATAATACAATTCTAGAAAGTACTTATTCATTACAGCAGATCAAGCATTGTTTGATCAACAGAATGAACACTAACACAGATCAGCTTTCCTTGTAGTCACCAGCAACATTTTCACATTACATCACATCACAAAGTGCATATGATAACTGCAAGAATGACTTCTGACCATTGGCATACAATAAGATACAATAAGACTTGCTACTAGCAATTCTATGAACAATTGAACATGTCACAAGCACAAAAATGCTAAATAGCAACTGTATGAACAATTGAATATCTAACAAGAACAAAATGTTAGCATGTGATGCTGTTTCTATAGTTTACATGCTATCTATAATGCTTTGTATACAGCTATACAAGGTGGTGAAGTTATACTACTGAACAATTCAATAAAACATTTGTTCAAGGTCATTATTCTAAATGCAATGTCTGCAATATAAAACTCAAGAGCAACTAATGGTAACTGACACTTCTACATCTACTGACATACATACATGTATAAACTGAATGATTGTACATAGTTGTAGATCTGCAAAATACAGCAGACATTGGGCAATGTATCAGGGTGGCTAAAGCAATTACTTACTAGTAACTACATGTATATGACAATGTTATGAATCATAAAGCTACACTGTCTCCCAACTCTCCCTATTTAAATGCCATGGGCTACAGAAACTATGGAGGATGGCACCCAGGCTCTTCAATATATAACAATGATTGACAAAGTTTGTACATAATGTGGAATGGAATTAGTCTCAGAAACAAATAGCTTCTATAAACATCCTTCATCCTCAAAAGGTGACTTGAAGTCTCCACTCGGATCTGGGTACATTTTATTGATTGCCTGCACGACACATGAAGGAATGACTCTTCGTACACATTCCTCAGGATCCAAGTCCAACTGGAGAAAAATGCAGCACTGGCTGTAGGCCTGGAGCCTGTAGGCTCTGTTGTTTATTTCTGGTGCTTCTGCTCCGAGGGCTTCGTCATCATCATCATCATCATCATTATTACCAACATCATCATAGTCATCATCATCATCGTAACCATCATCATCTTCTCTTTGATGTTCCGCCCCCTCTAACTTTGCAACCATTGCACATTCCAACACGTCCTTATTGAGGACGACGACTTTGAATCCGGCGTGTTCTGTCAGACAAAGGATGTCCTGGCCCTCCCTTCTCTGCTCAGCTTCCACCAAGTCGTGACAACACACGCTCTCGTGTACGGTCTTCATCTGTCGGCATTTCCCGCCACACCGACACCACACGAAGTGCTTCAGTCTCCACTTGGCGGTCTCCTCGTCGGCCTGGTCCCACTCTCGGATGGTGACGGCCGCGATAGTCTCCGGTTCAGCCGACGGGGAGATAGAAGCCACAGCTCCCGCAGTGTTGTCACCTGCACCACTGCCCCCCTCCCCACTCTCTCCTCTCGAGTCCGAGTACCTTGGCTCGAAGTTGTAAGGAACAATGTTGTTAGCGTCAAACTCCCAGCGCTCCATAACGTTCTTCTTTGCCTAGACGTGACTTCAGCAGACCCTAAACACGTACGTGTGTTGAATTTCCAGGTGTTTCTGATCCTTTTCTCACTGTAAACGTCGTGGCGTGCGCGTGTATGAGATGACGTGCAGTTTCATAAAGAAGTCGCTAGATGGCAGTGTCGCACGGTAAACAAAACTACTCTCAGTCTGCTGACCCCATCTGGCCCTTATTCTGTGTAAGGCGAATGTGGTTTCTTGCCGCTCTACACTTTTGACCTTCTCCTTCTGTTAGTGAGGTTTTCCTCCCCTGATGCCAAAACGCCTTTTGGCTTGTTTGTGGTGTGCACAAAGTGATCAGGCATCAAGTTTCCCGCCAAAACAAGGCTAAAGGTCACAGCGCAGGACAGAACGTCGGCCTTTTCCCGCAGCAAGATGGCGGAGCAGGCACAGTTCGAGACTCTGCTGGCCAACTTAATGAGCCCTGACAACGACGTCAGGAAGCAGGCTGAGGTAAGGTGAACCCTTAGGCAGACTCCTGTATCCCCTGTGTCTCTCGTAAGTACCAAATGTATGGATCCTGCCCTGTAAAATCGGCATATTTCGCCGTAACATGTGGGGTGGTACCGGCGTGGATAGTCATGCCCCTAGCGATGCCCATAGCTACTCCATTATGTCATTTGTAACAGGATCTCGCCACTTCAAAGTACGTTTTGAAGGCCACTGTGCAACCGAGACGGACTTAAGCATGCCATGTATCTAATAACAGTCCCTTTATACGTCAAAACTCCTCGTATGGAGTTGAATATATCGTTTTCCTAGCGGCGTTTCGACTTACTTCCGGGTTGCGCCATCGCATGGCGGTGGTTGAGTAATCTCCAAGCAGATACTGGGGAGAAAGAACGTAACGTTTGCTGACTGCCAGAATTCTCTGACACCCAGTCACCCCAACATGTGCAGACGGTGGACAGATGTTGGTGGGTGACTGACTGTCAGACTTAACCTGATAGAATGGAAACCTTACAATCTTCCATCATGTAATATCTGCTCTAACATTAACAAGAATAAATCAGGCTCTTATAAGTACATGTACAAATAGCAATTCAATTTGTCTTCATTGTAGCAAAATTTAACAGACGGGGATAATGGATATGTTCACACAGAACTTAATCTTCACAGTGGTGACAAAGACAAACAACTTGATATAATGATAATGGTAATTATGATAAGTGCACGGTACAGAAGTGATGGTGAAAACTGTTAACACAAAAGTACTATTAAAAAATTACAGTACTGTAGTACACTTTGACTAACTTGATATGTACCAGCTAACACTTAAAACTCAAGCACGTGCTGATAAAAGCTCCACAAGGACGTCTTCCAGATCTGGTGCCAACATTCCGACACAGTCCATGTCTGACTACTTGTACAGTATGGTTGCTCACACCTGTTGTGTGTTGTCATAATCAGTTAGTGTTATCATGGGGAAAATAGGCCAGATGTAAACTAGGTAGTTGTATACATGATCAGATGAAGTTAAATTTCTTCATGCATGTACAACATATCTAGAATGAATTACACACTGAGACATAAAATCAGATTAAGGAATATTATGCAGGTAAATTTCTTCATGTGTGTATATGTGTAAGGAAAACATGCGGGTTGTGTAAATGTGTTGTATTTTGATGTACCCACAATCATTAGGCATTGCGCCATCTTGTAGGTTGTGCTCACCATCGCTGTATACCAGTAAATCAATTGTCCTCTTCATGTAATGTTATTTGTATTGATCTGTGTAGCTGGTAGGGCTAAGGAATAGAGGCACTCTGGAGTCTTCTACATATCGTATTTCTAGATTTAGACTAGTGAAACACCAACATTACAGTTTTTGTTCCTCAGGGTCTCGGAAAAAAGTACTAGTAGTAGTATGCAATGAAAGACACATCTTGTCCCTTTCATGAATTGCTAAGTCATAAGACATATAAGTATGAGGCTCTTGTACATAATTTGTATGCTGCTTTCATTATTGACATAGGTACAAATATATTCTTATACACCATTAGTACAAACTTGTTATTTTTGAGATGAAATAATCCTTACGAGTTAATAGTACTAGTACGTACATGTATTAACTAGTACTAGTACGTATTAAGTAAGTTGGTACATTGCTCAAGCTGGACTGTCCTAGCTACTCAATCACAATCTAATTAACCTTATTTATGGGATTCAAATTTGGCTTCCTTGAAGTAAGTGAATAGGATCCTGGAAAAGAATGTCTGTTTCTGATGAAGATGTTTCCTCTGTCCCCAGACGATGTACGATGGCATCCCTGTGGCCAATCGTGCACAGTTTCTCCTGCAGGCTTCCAGAAACGCCAATGCTGCAGCAGAGGTACATTCTTTTTTCTTATTATTCATGTTCACCACAAAATATGGCTCATGGGAGCCACTCAAATGTTTTGGGTTACTGTAAAGACAGTGAGGACAGATGTTTGTTGACCGTAGACTTGATAAGTTTAAGGTTATACCCATATGGGAAACAATCACAAAATAATATGGGAAACTTCTTATTTTCTTCTAACCACGTAAGCATTTCATCAAATACTTTATCTGGTACTCAAGTTAATGCTAGTACACCATGTACAGGGGTGACACAATTTTAGCAGGCATTCGTGGCAGACAAAAGAAGGAGTTAATCATTCACTTCAGGCTTTCATCCAATTGTCAGTCACAAAATAATAATCGTGCTGCTGTGTTACCTGAATATTTATGCCTCTGACAGGACACAGCCATAATTACAGTGCCTTATAGATCTAGCTACAAGAAAATCAATGTGCGGAAAAAATTAGATTATAAAGTTGGCAGCCTTGTGACATTGAATAGGTCGACCGATATAACTGCCGTATCTCAGAACGTACCAGCTTTTGTTTGACACACATGGTACTTAGGAATGATGGCATGTGCGCATGCAGAATAGAATGTAAGTTGGACATGTGCCAGGTACATGTACAACAAAACCATGCCTAGGTCCTTGGTATTTATAGCCCAGTGGGTAGAATGGTAGATTTGTATGCAGTATTTGCTTCAGTTGCGTTATCTGTGCTTGCACAGCTGTGTGTGGCCCAAGGGCTAAGGAAATTGAGAAGGGCACTGTCCTATATATCATATGGTGTGGTGAAGGCTTCAAAAAACTTACACATGTATATACATTATAAAATATATAAGTATATACAATGTATATTGCCCTGCTGGTTCCTCGTTTTTTTTTCCTGTCAACCCAGGGTCAGACCTGAGGGGAGAGTGCTCACAATCTGGGGGTAGGGGGGGTCTTGGGGCAAATTTCGGATTTTCAAGCCTTTAAAAACACATTTTTATAGGCAGATCATTGGGTTAAGAGTGGTTGTTGTCAGTCCTTTGGATGTCATATTTTAACCAAGATTTTTGTCAATTTTGTCTGTGGAGGCTGACAGATTGGTTTAAAAATTTTTCTGTCCAAAAACCCTGATTCAAAGAAACCTCACTGAAAAAAAGTAACAAAAATTCTCATGGTGCAATGCAGGTGCGTCAGATGGGCGCGGTGCTGCTGCGGCGCCTGCTGACAATGTCGTTTGAGGAGGCGTGGCCGACGTTCCCACCAGAGCTGCAGGCTGCCATCAAGACCCAGCTGCTCGCCGGCATCCAGCAGGAGACCACGCCCAACGTCAGGCGCAAGATCTGTGACGCCACCGCAGAACTGGCACGCAACCTCATGGGTGGGTGATACATAGCCGTCATTATCTTAGCTTCGGTATATCTGTGTCTATATGACCTGTATAGCCAGTATAACCGCCCTTAAGCGTAACACACCAGTATAAGTCCTTAAATCTGAAATATATACAGGATTTGTAGGTAGGTGGTCAACTAGCATTGCTGCATGACTTTGCTCTAGAAACAAACAAGTAAGGATAACAGTATCCGTAAAAATATAAAAAGGTATACTGTAATTCACTTGATATTTGCGGTAGGAAAAGTTTTTGATCTGAGAAAAATGTTTGCTTAGTACAATTTATATGTTTGTGGTGCTGTGAGGAACAGAAGTGACTGCAAAAACACTTGCTCATTCACTACGTGGGAACATAAAAGTACCACGAAAAAAATCAGGAATTACAGTAATTTTTTTCACCCCCACCTCTCAGGTGATGATGGTACGAACCACTGGCCGGAAGCGCTGAAGTTCCTGTTTGAGTGTGCCAGTTCCCAGGACCCCGCCCTGAAGGAGAGCGCGCTCAACATCTTCTGGTCTGTCATTGGTTCATTCAAGTGTCAATCACTTTCAAATTTCACCATGTCAGACATTTCAATGAACACTGAGGCCATGTCAGTTTGGTTTCTTTGTTCTGGGATTATAGCAGGAAATTGATTGAGTAGGTTTGTAAAATGACAATGAAACAAACAAAGAAATTATACAGACCGCTTATTGTAACAATGAATAGAAAAACCATACATGTATCAACTAGGAAGGTGAGGATTTTCTTCAACTGTAATAACCAAGTATGTGAACTTTTCTTGATAAACTGTTTTTTTCAGACAAACATGAAGCAGGCATACCCCCCAAAATAGGAATTGAATTGGTATAGCCTAAATTGACACTTGGAAAATATACCATGATTCATTGTACTTACTTGTTATTCACCTTGTTGGTAATTTGATACAAATTAAGGCATAATGATGTTAGATTTTAAGTGGCAACCACAGCTGAAAAGATGGCTTCTATGTACAGTTCCATCCCAGGTATCTTTGGGAACCAGCAGGCACACTACCTGGAGGTTATCAAACAGATGCTGTACCAGTGTATGACTGACCAGACTAGTCCACAGGTACAGTACAATATACCAACTGCTACATGATGTTGTATACATATAGTAGTACATTATACCATAGCAGGCACTGGTGGTGCTATTACATGTTACATGTATGATGTCTGATTTCTTTGGACACAAAACACTAAAGGAGTTAAAAACATAATTTTTGGTCTTAAAAGGTTAATTAATAATTTCTGTACTAATACTTTATATATAAAACTAAAAATGCTAAAAAAAATTCAGTGCCAACTTCCTGTAACAGTACAGTAGTCTGTTCAGAAATGCCATGAAGTGTACTGACTTTTTGCCCAGGTGCGAAGGTTGGCGGCCAAAGCCACAGCGAACTTCATCCTGGAGAATGAGAATGACGCCACACTGCAGCGACAGTTGTCTGATCTCCTTCCCGGGATCCTACAGGTACAATTTCAGAAATCTACATGTAGGAGCATGTAAGTTAGGTCCTTGTTGCTTATTGGTTGAAAACTTGTCTAGATGTTCTGTGGAAATTAAGCTTTATTGCCTCTGTGTATGGAGGTATTGTACATGTATTTCGGTTGTTTGTTTACTTTAGTATTCATACTAGTTACAGTATTTGAATACTAAACAGTCACAGGAAGTGAGTGGGAAACTGGTATATCTGTAGACTGACAGGAAGGTCAAAATGGTCTCCCTGCAAGCTAGGAGGAAGGGAATGGTACAATTTAGGAACTCTAGGATTGCATGTCACATTGTGTGCAACACTGGAATATGCACAGAATTGGCAAGAAATTCACAGTAATCAAAATAACATTAGAAATTGACAACAACACTGCATACTTCACAGAGATGTGTAATCTTTAATGTCTAATTAAATTGTGTTATTAACAACATTGTCCACATCCATTCAGAGTCTGTCGGAGAGTGCTTCTACCCAAGATGACGACTGTGTCCTGAAGAGTATGATCGACCTGGCCGAGAACACACCCAAATATCTACGTCTACAGCTGGACTCTGTGCTCAACATCAACCTACAGGTAATGATTGGGGCTGCAGTTCTTTTTGAATCTGCTAGATGTCTCTCTTGATCAGGCCTAGTTTTAGCCACCTCTCATCATCTACTGCGAGATTCTAAATTAATTCAACATCAACCTTCAGCTAAACACTTCAGCTGCTCTTCTTGATAAAACTGCTAGATGTCACTTTTGATCAGGTCTCATCCTAGCCATGTGTATATGTCGCCATTGTTTTCAGTGATAACTTGCAAATTTGCAAAGGTGGGGTACACGCAAAGTTATCGGATATAGGGGTTTTCTTTTGTGCAACCAAACTATTCCTACTTGGTTGTGTAAAAGAAAACCCCTACATCCTATACTAAGTAATCTACCAACCTGATAAAACTATTTTCGGATGCAAACTTATCATATGTGAACTGTTTTATAATCATTCATGCTAGGTTTGGCTGTTAAAGGATATAAGTGTGTAGTTTTCTTAAACATTTCTTGATTTCATGAGGACCCTTTGACACTATCAAACTGTCAGAACCTGTTATGCAAATGACAGATCCTGTCCAATCCTGACCTGCCCGACCAGTGGAGACATCTGGGGTTAGAGGTCATCGTGACGCTGGCAGAGACGGCTCCAGCCATGGTCCGCAAACGGGCAAAAATTGTTCCGCTTCTGAGTAAGTTTCGTTTGCTTTGGTTTATTAAGACCTCCATTGGTGAATACAATCACTTGACAAGTGGTCTTCCTGGAGTCCATTAAAATACAATGTACACATTAAAACAAAATACATGTATAACAATGGAATGTGATAAAATTATACAACAGAATTGACAGAAGACTAACATAAACTGAACTGAAAATCACATTCATAATCAAATTAATAATAGAAATCAATTATATAACAATTGCAAGTACGAAAAACTTTTGTCAATGAAATACAAAGTTCCTATCTAAAACTGGTAACATTTTTTGCTCATTCCGAAAATGTATAAAACAATGAATTTGTGAGAAAGTTGAAATCATTATAATTATGTTCTGTGTCCTTATTTTTAGTTTTAGTTAAAGATTTCCAAGTCAATTTTTAACAAGCTTTTATTATATAGAGCAGAATTTTATTGGTGCTAAATTTTGACCTTGACCTCAGTCCCTCAGGTCATGGCCCTGATGGTTGACCTTGAAGAGGAAGAAGACTGGGCCACGTCTGATGAAGCAGAAGATGAAGACAGTGACAGGTCAGATCTTTACCATGACAACTATCTAATTTGGAGATAAAGAACTATTAACTTTAAAAGGACACAGCCTGTGCGTTCTAGTGGTAGTCACTTTGAGCACTATCAATTTCATATAGTCTGCTTGTTTTCAGTCAGGATGATTTTACTTGTTAGAAAGAAGATCTGATTTGTCATTGTAAGTCACAATCATGGCTGTCAGTGCTATAGTGCCACCTTGTGGAACTGATACAAACTGCATGCAGTGCAATTTTGATTGATGCAACTGATTCACAAAACAATGTCATTTTCTTCCAATCCCCAAGCTTATGACTGCAAATCAAAGTAAAATTTAACAATTAGCAAGGCTTTAGTTGTTTAGAGCAAAACTTCCATTGCTTGTTAAATGTCGCAGAAAAGAGAATGTCTGTGATTGGTGTTTTACAGTAATGCGATCGCTGGTGAGACTGGACTAGACAGACTGGCGTGCGGGTTGGGAGGGAAGACCGTCCTGCCACACGTGTCCGCTGCACTGCCACAGATGTTACAGAACGGTACGGCTAGTTTAACAGTATCTGAACATTTGATAGTGTTGTAAGTTGTTGTTGTCACTTTACACATCAACATAAAGTTCTCTAGCTGGGCAATTGATGCAAACCTACAGTATGTATGACAACCAATCTAATCTTTACAAGCAAGTTGGTAAACTAATTGTGAAAATAAACATGTAAATATGCCCTTGAAGAAAGGGACTTTTTTTTACACAACCAAGAGGTTTATTCAGCCAACGTTTCGATGACTGTCTGTCACCTTCCTCAGTGCAATTCTGAGTAATTCACATTGCACTGCAGCACAGGTGTTGCTGCAATAGATGCGTTGCAATGTGAAGCAGTCAAATTTACCCTGAGGAAGGTGACAGACAGTCACCGAAACATCAGCTGAAGAAACCTCTTCATTGTGTAAGAAGAGTAAGTCTCTTCATTCAGTGACTTACCAACCTGATAAAACTATCATGGATAAATATGCCTCACTGCAGTTGACTGGAGATACCGGCACGCCGCCCTGATGGCCATCTCGGCGATCGGCGAGGGCTGTCACAACCAGATGCAGGCGGTTCTGCCCAGCGTGGTGGACGCTGTGCTGCCCTTCCTGCAGGACCAGGTCAGGCCAAAGAATTTGTCTATTTTAAGGAATATATAAAAATTATAAGATCCATTACCAGAAACATAGGAATTTTTCGGAATCCATACGAATTTTACGAAATACATACGATCCATTACCAGAAACATACAAATTTTACGATCATACGATCCATTGGATCCATCCATCCAATGGATGCATACGATCCATTACTCGGAAACATACGATCCTTCCTAATTTGGTGATACAGGCGTTGGTCACCAGATTTCAGGTTTTTTTTTTTTAAGTAGGAAGTGACAAATGTTCCATTGAATGTATAGTTCCGAATGCATTGCTAGCTTAAGTACAATGTTTACTAACTGTTGTGTCTCCTCCCAGCACCCCAGGGTCAGATATGCAGCCTGTAATGCTCTGGGACAGATGGCTACTGACTTCGCCCCACTCTTCCAGAAAAAGTTTATTGACAAAGTATGTACCATTTTGTCTTTTGTAACTTTTGGGTAGGAGGATGAAAATGAAAAAGTGGTCCAGGAGTATGTTCAACTTGGTATATGCTCATTTGAAAAATCATAGTTTAACACGAAATGTTTATCTGGTATCATTCTATGATCTAGACAACCATGATTCTGAAGTTGTTATATAATTATACGCTGTGCGATATTTTGCAAATGCATGTATGTAATAAGGTTATACATGTACACAAAGAATGCTTTATAAAGGGACCATCCTGTCAAATGCAGTTGTTTAGTTGATTGATCGATCAATTGATTGATTGATTGATTGATTGATATTTCCCCTCTTTAGGTGATCCGAGGCCTGCTGATTGTACTGGATGACTTCCAGCACCCCCGTGTCCAGGCTCACGCCGGTGCGGCGCTGGTCAACTTCAGCGAGGACTGTCCCAAGTCGCTCCTCCTGCCGTACCTGGACCCCATCCTGGCCAAGCTGGAACAGGTCCTCAGTGTGAAGATTCAGGAGGTGGGCAGTCGGTTTTGTTTGTTTGTTTGTTAGCATATAATCCGGCCACACCAATTTAATTTGTTGGTTCTCGGATTCGCCTCTTCAATTTTTTTCTGATTTGCAAAAATAAAAAGATTCTGGTTCTGCATCAACTGAAAAATTCTCATATTTTGTCCCCAACAGTTGAGGAAGGTCCTTTTCTTCCTAGTTCCTCCAGTTTTTCCATCTATCAATGTAGTGGTTTGATTAAAAGTTTGTTGTTTGAATATTAGCCCAGCCTTTTGTACTGACTTCATGGCTCCTATCGTAGCATTTGGGGCTATAATAGGATGCTTAGACCTATTTTTATTGATTTTATGTTTTTCCCTTTCACTTCATAATTTTTATGAAAAAAAATTACAATTAAAACAAATTAAATTGGTGTAGCCTCAAGTGATGAAATAAACATAACATAACATAACAAAAGAAGATATGCGGGGGGAAGATAAGAGGCCTGACAAATCTGCCACAAATCTTTGGAAAAGATATGAAAACATCCAATATCCACTCATAGCCCCATGGTTTCCCTCCCAAAATGTGGGAAATTTAGTTTTTAAAGACTTGAAAATCCAAAATTTGCCCACGGACCCCCCTAGATTGCAAGTATCCTCCCCCAGGTCGGATCATGAACCTGAGCCGATGGAAAAATTTTAGAGCTGGCTAGAACCCTGATGAATCTTTTATTATATGTATTGTTTCCTAAGGTTGTTGCCAAGGGGACAAAGATGGTTCTGGAACAGGTGGTGACAACGATCGCTGCTGTCGCTGACACATCGGAGGACGCGTTTGTCCAGTACTACGACCGCTTCATGCCCAGCCTGAAACTTCTCATGCAGAGTGCCAACAGCAAGGAGCTCAGGTTACTGAGGGGGAAAACTATCGAGTGTATCAGTCTCATCGGCCTGGCTGTCGGCACTCAGAAGGTTGGGAGATGTTGTTTTTTCACAATTCACACTGCCTTAACAGTGGTTTTCTAAATATAGAATACAACACCGTGTTCTAGTATTCAGTATTGTCTGAGGTACCAGTGAGACTCGCAGGAGGGGTGGGACCGAGGGTGATGTCGAATACACCACGTTGTATTTTATTCATGTTATACCCACCCAAGAAAACACGCCTTCCAATGTGAAATGAGCGAAAATTTAGTGTCTTTGTTGTCCCTAAACCAAAAAATGCAACATCAATTTCTACTTTGGGTAGCATAGCTTGTGTAACTGTTTGTAAACAGTAGATCTAGTATTTATATGATAGTGATAAAATAGATTTACTTACTTAGTTTTGTCTCCCTCTTATTTAAAGTCAACACTACTAGTGATGATGGTGACTTTATCTTTAGGCTCTATTGTGATGGTATAACTAAGTGCTTTTAGCCCGTGTGGCCTGTTACATTTATTATGCATTTTCAAAAGACTATATTCAGACAGTTATACTTTGTATTCATGTACTCTTGAGTCCCCTACATGACTGTACATCTAACATGTTTGTTTGTTTGTTTGTTTGTTTGCACAGTTCATGCAGGATGCGTCTGATGTGATGCAGATGCTGCTGGCCACACAGACTGACTCCCAGGCCCAGGAGATGGACGATGATGACCCTCAGGTACAACAATGCTTTACAGTTTCAACAATGTGCCATGATAATGCATTGTTGTTTTTTTTTTTACTTGGTCATGTCTCAGGTTGCCTCAAGGCCTATTTACAAAGCTTTGAAGTTTGAAGGGATAAGATATGGGCAGCATTTGTCAAATAATATGTACATGTATTTGTTCTTTGAAATATTTATTTTTCTGTTTTTCTGCTAAACACCAGTATGCTTGATTAGAATAATTTTCTATAGTTTGTCATGACATTTCAGACTCGGTGGCTCATGATTGTGATGTCTGTTTTCCCTCTTGTCTGTCCCAGATGTCGTTTATGATCTCAGCGTGGGCTCGGATGTGTAAACTCCTGGGGAAACAGTTCCAGCAGTACCTGCCTGTGGTCATGACTCCACTGCTCAAGGCTGCTGCCATCAAACCTGAGGTCGCACTGTTAGATGGTCAGTCTCGTTCATGTAAAGACCTATTGATACTACATGCAGTGTACAAAATACTGTTTCGAACCACGATAGGTCTTCACGAAAGTTGCACCTATTACTGTGGCTAGCTGGTGATGTTTTCAGTTTGGCTAGTTTGATTTTGTGTTTATTAATGAAATGCTTTTTTCTCCTGTATTTCAGAGGATGACATGAAACAAGTGAATGAAGATGATGGTTGGCAGTTTGTGTCTCTCAGTGACCAGGTAAAATTGCGTTCTCGGTGCACTGTCTGTACATTGTTTTCTATGACAAGGAAAAGAGAACAAGTAGAAATTTAAAATTAGCAGTGTATAAGATCTGGTGAATGTATGACTTGTTTGATTGTTTTGGGGGTCTGAGCTGTGGGTTTGTGTGTATCTGTGTGGACAGAATAAGTTGACAGCACATGAGAGGGGGAAGATTGACAGGCAGAATGACAGGAGGTTAAAGGTCTCTTCGTCAGGCTAGGGAGCCAGCAGCAATTAGAGGTTGACATGGGGAAATTCAGGAAGGCAGTTTTCTTGTTCAGTTGATTCTTTCCTAGAACTATTGCAGAGTGGAACTCACTCATCAAATACAGTAGGGGCATTATCATTAATAGATAGCTTTCAACAGTTTTTAGAGTTAGATGTTCAAGGGTTAGGTGTAACAAGTCGTTCGGTGTAATGTAGCCAGCTGCCGCCGCGCCCCGTGCCTGCGAAGCTGGTATGTTACACCGAAGGGCAGTTACAACGGCTATACAGATACAGATGATTCTGCCTTCATCAGGGGTCTAACACACATGAATTTTTCCGTGTTGCAGCAAAGTTTTGGCATCAGGACGACAGGTTTGGAGGAGAAGAGCACGGCGTGTCAGATGCTGGTGTGTTACGCTCGAGAGCTGAAGGAGGCATTCGCAGACTACACAGAACAGGTGGTGAAACTGATGGTGCCACTGCTCAAGTTTTACTTCCACGATGATATCCTTTCAACAGCAATGCTTTAGGATAAAGGCATAACATATACTACTAATGGATTGAAATAGCCTAGGTAAATATAAACTTCAAGGTAGTCCCATGGCCTTTAGGTTGTAGGGGCAGTGAGTTTTTTGATAGTCCACTGTGTCTAGTAGCCTATGCCTAGGACACAGTATTGGAAGGCAGAGCCCGTCCCTCTCCTTCCACCATCTTTTGCCTCCCCAACCAAAGTCAGGTACCCATTTTACACCTGGGTTGAGTGAGGAAAGCTGTGTTAAGTGCCTTTCCTAAGGATGCACCGTCTAGGCAGGAAAGCTAGGGATCAAATCTGCAATCTCTCTATCCCATGTCTGCTAGCCTAGCCACTCAACCATTCGATGCCACACTTTTATTGAATTTACTGTTCTTATCTGTTGATAAGAGAAGTAGTCCGCCCTGGAGTGCTTTGGTCAAATATACTCAACGCATAAATCCAGTTAGATTTAACCAGTTTGAAACAGATAAGTGCTGTTAGGTTTGTTGTTTTACCATGTTATACCGGCTATACAGATACAGAATGCTTAGAGTTAGATGTTCAAGGGTTAGGTGTAACAAGATTAGTGGTAGGTTGTTATGTAGCCAGCTGCTGCTACTTCGCATGCCTGCGAAGCTGGTGTGTTACGCTGAAGGGCATTTACACCGGCCCCTACGCTCAAATAGCCTAGTGAAAATTTTGCAGTTTGAAACAGATCAGTGCTGTTAGGTTTCTTGTTTTACTGTGTCCTCCTTAACCGGCGTACTTGTGAGATTGTCGGCTGCTGAGATCATGCCGTGTCTGATCGAGTGTGCGACGATTAAAGGCGAGGCGTACGTACGGGAGATGTGGAACTTCATGTGTCCTGAGATCATCGCCGCCATGGGCACGGAACCGGAGAGTGACGTCCTCTCACAACTCATGGAGTCTTTTGCTAAAGTATGTACTACAGTATGGTGTTTTTTTGCAGTTAGCACCCTTCTGTATGCCACATGTACATGTACAATGTATTTAACTACAGTAAAACTGTTACATGCCACATGTAAGAACCTTGCATAATGTCTATAACAAGCAGGTCATTCAGTAGTAAGTCATAGCTTCCAACTTTGCGTATGTATGATTCCAAACATAGGTATAATAACTAACCATTCTAACGATTTTAACCCTTTTAGCCATTTGGCTACAAATTCTCATTGATTATGGAGTTGTGCAGCAGGTTAAATATTGCATTTTTGTCCCGATGTGTTTTCTTCATTACATGACCTCCTTGACAGCAGCTGGTGTTGAAAGACTAGTAGACACCATGGTAGATGAAAGGAGGACACAGTCACAAGATCTTAATATTTCATGGAGGGCTAAGGTCTCAGAATTTTTGTTGCTCTTTTTGCACTTAAAACTTACACAATGTTACATATTTGTTCTTTGCACTTGCGTAGTGTGTAGAGTTGCTGGGGAAGGGCTGCCTGAGTAATGAACAGTTGACCAGCCTGGGGAAGACCCTCAACGACCATCTGGAGGCTCACTTCCACAAACAGGACGAGAGGCAAGGTGGGTGTCCATGGTTACACATGTACTGAATTTTTGCTAACTGTGCCCCATTGTTGATGTTACACTATACAAATATCTACTAGCTATGTAGGACTGTATTGATTCAAACCCCATTGAAATTCTACCATTCAAAGGATATATATCCAAGTTGCATGTACATGTAAATGTTTACATTTAGACTTTTCTTTTATAATCATAGCATAAGCATGATTTACTTTAAATGTCATCTAAAACCAAGATTGCTGTTTTGCACAATTGACAGTAACAAATGTTATGGGTACTGTGTTGTTTTGTGGTTTTTTTATTATACATGTAGTAGCTTCTGAGAATCTTCATGTAATCACAGAGTTCATTTTCTTGTTAACAGAAAGGAGAAAAGATGAAGACTATGATGAGGTGGTAGAAGAAAGCTTACAGGAACAGGTGAGTGTTACCAGTAGAAAATGTTGGATTATGCATAGCGAAAGTGTAGTAGACTGTCCATGCATATTGTCAGTTATGGATATCTTTAACCTAGCTGCCTTTAGAATTCTGTAAGTGAAGTGCTACGGTAACCTTTTATTCTTGTCAGGTTGATACTCAACATTGGGACACCAGTAAACAAATATACCAGTCATTTATAAATTCAATGTAGAAGTCAGGTTTTAAAAATGTTTGTTTCTGCTCTAGAATGAAGATGACATCTACATGTTGAGTAAAGTGTCTGACATCATCCACTCTCTGCTGGGGACACACAGGGAAGAGATGCTGCCATTCTTTGAACAACTGATGCCACACTTCATCAAACTATTGGTACGTGGCGCTGTTGCATGGACGACTATATGGTAGAAAATCATCAGAGAAGAACAGCTACGGGCTAAAAAGTTTCTATGTTGCTGCTTAAGATTTTTTGGGGGGTTTTGGTGTATTTCATCAGAACTGCTTTCTTGTGGGAGTACAAACACTTATTAAAGGCTGACATCATCATTTTGTGTGTAAATCAGAGCAAAATCTGCCGTATCATCAGTTTGTGTGCCTCATGACTAACCTCTGATTGTTTTTTGCCTGCAGACTCCTGGGAGACCTTGGTCAGACAGACAGTGGGGTCTGTGTATCTGGGATGACGTGATTGAGTACTGTGGACCGGTAAGTATGAATAGCTGTATGTTCCATTAATTTCTGTTACTCAAAAGCAAAAAAGTGCCTCACGTCGCTGTGATTTTTTCAAACATCATTCTTGTTGTTATCGCTCGCCATACTTTGACTCAACTGTCTGTAAATTTTACAGGTGTCCTTCAAGTACCAGGAGTACTTCCTGCAGCCCATGGTGGCCGCCATCACGGACAAGAATGCCGAAGTTCGGCAGGCCGCAGCGTACGGGTGCGGTGTCATGGCGCAGTTCGGAGGAGAAAACTATGCACAGGCCTTGCGAGGTGACATTTCTGTTTTTTCTTTCATAGTTCTGACAAAGTGCTAGCCTGGGTGCCATCTTATTTGTATGCTGGGGCTCCCATACTTGCCCCCTAAGAAAGAACCCATGACCTCCCGAACTCGTGTCTGCTCGCCTAACCAGAGGTCCCCTGAGATACCGCCAAATGGCAGCCGTTCCAGATAGACCCTTGCGATTAAGCCCCAATATATTGTAAGCTCCTCACAATTCAGCCCTTGGTTGCAAAGAGAAAGTAGCTGGCCCACCCAATACAAACCACTTGGCCATACGACACCACACATGAAGTGTTCCTAACTGTTGACTATCTTTTTTTTCTCCAGAGGCCCTTCCCAGACTAACTCAGGTGATCCAGGACCCAGAGTCTCGCGAGGTGGAGAACTTACCCCCCACGGAGAACGCCATCTCAGCCGTCACCAAGATGATGAAGTACCAGCCGGGCAGCCTGGAGATGGACTCCATCCTGCAACACTGGTTGTCATGGTTACCTGTCAAGGAGGACAAGGAGGAGTGTGTGCACATCTACAACTTCCTCTGTGATCTCGTGGAAAGGTAAGGACTTAGATGGACGGATTCCCCAAATGTCATCATGAATAGATAGATAAAACGTAACTGCACAAAAATTTTAAAGGTACAGTATACTGTAATTTACTCTTTGTCCACGGTAGCAAAAGTGTGCAAATCTACAACTTCCTCTATGATCTGGTGGAAAGGTGAGAACTTAGATGTTCTGAATGTCATTATGAGTAAATATTATAGGAAACTTTTAAATTTTAAAGGTAGAGTATAGCAATTCACTTTATGTCCACGGTAGCAAAAGTATGTGGTCAGAAAAATGATGGTGTTTACGGAACTATATGTTTACAGTGGCCACAGGCGCAGAAGAAAGAAAGTCGGCAAATTATTTGTTAATGGCAGTGATAATAAAAATCAGGAGTAACAAGAACGTAGTGGCTCCTCCCTAAATTGTTTGTCTCTACTCGTCTCCCCTGCAAACTATCCCAGAATTAATAGCATTTAGTGTTTGTTTGTTTTTTTAATTTTTGTCCCAATGCTTTGAGGTAAGTTTCATAGTGAACCACAACACTTAGAAATTAACCCTGAATTTTTCTATTTCCTCTCTCTCAGCAACAATGTGATAGTGCTGGGTCCCAACAACAGTAACCTGCCCCGTGTTCTGGGGATCATAGCAGACGGGGTGGCTGCCGACGCCCACAGTCAGGACCAGGGACTGACTCAGAGACTCACCACCATTGTCAGACAGATGCAGGTCAGTAGAACAGCTCACTCATAACTAGAGTACCATGATCTCGTACCTTCACCAAATGATATTTAATTAACAAATGATATTTGGCTGACAAATTCATCCAAAGGCAAGCCTTGTTGAGTTATTATGTTGACACACACACACAGAGATACACTCACACATGAACGCCACAAAAAATATAGCCTTGGAGAAGGTAACTAGGAAGTTTAGGGTATGGGTTTCCAGCCTTTTGAAGCTATAGGGCAATCAATGTGTCTACAGTGTGGTATTGGAAGGTAGAGCCCATCCTTCTCTAACTTCTCCTTTTACCTCCCCAGCCATAGTTACACATTTATATTTCTACCTTATCTAGCCAGGATTGCCATAAATTGAACCTGTGTCCACTAGCCCAACAACTGGCCATTGATGATACCATACATGTATGTCACCAGATGACACCAAAACCTGCATCATAAAAGACAACAAAGGAGTCCAACCACCATTTTGTTTTCTGTCAAGGCAAGAAGGATTGTTTAGATGTGATAATTACTAAGTTTGTTTTCCTGTAGGGTTCTGGTGACCTCTGGACGACCTGTACTGCCCAGCTGACCCCCGATCAGCAGCAAGCACTGGTCAGCTTCATGGAGACGCCACAGACATGAGAACCTGAATTGTCGAGACATCTACAAATTAAAATTACAAACTCTAAGGCAAAATAAACAAGTTTCCCAAAGGCTAAGCATCTTCTGTATAATTTGGCCATGTCAGTTTTGAAGGTTTCTTTTGACGCTCAGTTCGTCTTGTTTTTGTATGGTGATAAAAATGTCCTGTTTTTACACTTCGTCTCTATCCTACACAGTGTATCTTGTTGCAAGTAACTTTGATTCCAATATTGTTACAAGTCTGATGCAAAGATGTTTTGACAGGGTTAAAAAAACATTGCATCAGTGAATGTTTCTTGTGTTTCCTGTGAGCTGAACATAGGTTGACATTTTAAAATTGGCACGATTTATGTGCAGTTGTTGTTTTTTTCCTCATAGGTGAAGTTGTTAAGGCCACGCCAATTTAATTTCTTGGTTAACGGATTAGCCTGCTTCATTTTTTACTGATTTGCAAAAAAAAATGAGAATCAACTGCAAAATGCTCATATTTTGCCCTGAACAGTTGAAAACAGTCCTTTTCTTCCTAGCTGTTACAGTTATTCCATCTTTCAATGCAGTGGTATCATTAAAAGTTCAAAATTCATTGTTTAAATTTTGAATCAGCCTGGTGTGTTGACTTCATGGCTCCTAACGTACCATGTTGGGCCATGATAGGATGCCTAGGCCTGTTTTTATTTTTTCGCCCGCCCGCTCCATTATTTTTCTAGAAAAATCTGTTAACCAAGAAATTAAATTGGTGTGGCCTAAGTTAGCAAATGTGAAAAATGCTGCATAGTGCATACAAATGCAAGACCTATGCTTGAAGCAAAGTATAAGAAGAATTACACAGTAATATAATGTGACTTAGGAAATGACTAATTCAGAATGGTACAGAAGTTTGTACTACTTGACAATGTACATTGATCAAACCAGCTTTGTCCATAGATTTCTTACCAAGATGAGGTAGCATGGTTTGATTCAAGTAAATGTGAGAAGTAAAATGGCTCTTATGGTGAGGTGCAAGGATAGGAAAGGGTTGATAACTTACTGTATCCTGTAATATTAACCTCTGAGAATATCCAGCTATATGCTAGCTACATACATGTATACTTGCATGAAATTTGAAGCTAAGGGCAGTTGTATAATACAGGTATGATGTATTTAACATTTAAGGCACACTAGAAATTAATCTTGTTGTGTGAATAGAAGTGTGACAAGCTCACTTCTTTTTCCATGCGAAAATCTTTCAAATATTGTTGATATAAAAAGGGTATGTGTAAAAACAATAATTTGGTTGTTACATGTATATGCTGCCTACTGCCTACATGTAAGTGATCAGGCTATATACTAGGCTCTTTTTTCTCTTACGGTTGGGTTACAGGGCAGTGCTGCACATTTCTGGTTGTTGTGAGAGCTCCTGTCAATGTCATTCCATATGTGGTCGACTGTTTCTTGTTTTGTATGCGAGTAGCAAATTAATATGCTTCGTAATTTCTTTCTTGAGGAAGCACTTGTGTAAACATTGTCTTTTATTTTGGTCAGAAAGGCAAGTGTTACCTGGAAGATTTTGAGGCAGTGGAAACTGACTGTACAAGAGTCCTGAGTACATTGTGCTTGACACATCAGCTGTGTTACTGACTAGGTAAAGAAAAGTAGGAGAAAATCAGTGAGTTGCCAAAGACCAGAACTTTTTGCAGGTTTGTGTAAAAAAATATAGCAGATACATGCACTTGTTCTAGGGCTATCTTATTGGGAAACGTATGAATATACATGTACAAAGCCCCAAAATAACACACAACTGCTGCAACATCATAGCAGACTGAATCCAGTACATGCATATGTAGATTATCATAGGTCTTTTGGTGATGACTGTTGGGCTCTTCTAAGTTGAGATTTCCATGCTTGGTGATGGTGTTGATAGTAAAATGTTGCTGCCATGGCCAGATTTGTAATGCCAATGCTACCTCTATTCTCCATGCAAGAAAGCTGTGTCTAAAACATGCAAACTGACTCTCCTTTTGATTTTTTTTATATTCCAACATCTAATCACAAGACGTGGTGACGGCACATTCAAGTTTTTTCAACATGTATTAATGCCGGTGTAAAAACCGAAAGGGGCGAGGTCGCACGAACTCGGGTTCGATTCCCGGTTGTGACCTGCTCGCCCCTTTCGGTTTTTACAGTGGCGCCCGATGTGGGCCCTGTGAGTACTGGCACTGAGGATAAGTGTGGCAGCTCCAGGGATGTCGGACTCGGAAGATTCGAGGACGAATCTTGAAAGAAAAGGGGGAGTAGTGTAACAGTGCTAACTGACCATGCTAAATGGTCGTGCGACCTTTTAGTGTAGTGGTTAGCCGTTTGGTCCGACCGGCCGAAGCGGTACGAACTCGGGTTCGATCCGGTTGTGACCTGCTCGCCCCTTTCGGTTTTTACACCGGCACCAACACGCGCAGCCTCCAGCACACGCTAGCGCCCAGCAGCGGCCTGCATTGGGCCGGCCGAGTCCGAGGTGGTCAAAAAACTACCACTCTCAAGATAGGCTGACACAATTACACCTTCGTCAGACACCGGGCAAAATTTTCACCTGAGCGAAGTGAGGAAAGTCGTGTAAAGATCGGTGGCATGTCAGGACTCGAACCCGGGACCTCTTGGTTCCTTTTGATTTGACTTGATTTGTACGTGTAAGAAGCAACAACTGAAAGAAGATGGCTGTACACAACGCAGTAGACTTTTACAGTGCCTCTCATGAGTATAAACAAACAATTTACACCAAACGTACGAGAAAAACGTAAATTCCGAAGACAAAGATGAAACATGCAATCAGCTACATGCGTAACGTTTACCGCTGAAAGTGTTATTAGAAAAGATCATAAAAAGATCAACAAGACTCCACCACTCTGTTTCTCAGAATTCAACCCACACTACTTGTTTGATATAACGTTCGGATTTGTCTGGCACGTGGCTGCTTAAATGTCAGTGTCGGCGATGTTGTTTTTTGAAGTAGTCTTGTAAGGCCTTATATGGAATCGTTGCTCTCTAACATCAAATCGTAGATTGACTAAGTCGGCTTATACATTTTTGCAATATACTGTTGGAGGCAGGAGTCCGTAGGACTATTTATGACATTTGCTGTCAACACGGGGCCAGGCTCAGGTATTTCGGGTTGTATTCAGTACCGTAAGTTTCTTCCAGAGGAACACTACAGGTATCGTACAAGTAGAGATGGCGACGAGTGACACAAAGCTGCCACAAGAAGAAGACATAAGCGGAGACGTCAAGATGGCGAACTCACAGCGTCGACGTGCTGCGCCCAACACCTCAGTTCCCAAACGTGGCGACAACACCTGTGAAGTAAAGGAGGACCTAACTTCTACCCCTGACAAGAGCACTGAAAAAGACGACAAGGCCGCCAAACGGCCAAAACATGCCTGTGAAGAGGACTCCATCGGAATAGAGACGGGTGCTGATGCCTATGACACCGCTCCTGGTGTCCACGCCCACTCGCAGTCTGGTACAGATGAACCTCGACTTCTTTACGTGGGAGATCACGTAGTGGTGTATTCGGGGCACGGATCAGAAAATACGTACGAGTACGGGGCGTCTGAGATTGTGAGCTCGAAGCACGACGAAGCTTCTCCGACACACGATTACGTGCAAGATGAAGACGTTCACGGATACGAAGAGACTGGGAACTCGAGCACGGAGCACGACGAAGACTCTCGATCTTCCTCCTACAATTATAAGGAGCCAGAAGATGTTCACGTCAGTACGGGGCACCCAGAGGAAGGGTCTTCCTCAAACAACTACGGAAAACCAGAAGATGTTCACGGATACTCCGAAGAACCTGAGAATGCCAGCACAGAGCACTCGGAGGAAGAGTCTCTTTCCCATGCCTACGGAAGACCAGAAGATGTAGAGGGATACGTGATGAGCACAGGGCATTCGGGGGAAGGGCGTTCCTCACATCACTACGAAAAACCAGGAGATGTTCACGATGTTCACAGATACGTGAGCACAGGGCATTCGGAGGAAGGGTCTTCCTCACATCACTACGAAACACCAGAAGATGTTCAAGGATATGTGAGCACGGGACACTCGGAGGAAGGGCCTTCCTCACATGCCTTTGGAAAACCAGAAGATGTTCACGGTTACAAAGAGACTGAGAACGTGAGCACAGGGCATTCGGAGGAAGGGTCTTCTTCACATGCCTACCGAAAACCTGAAGATGTCCAGGGATACGTGAGCACAGGGCACTCGGGGGAAGGGTCTTCCTCACATGTCTATGGAAAACCAGAAGATGTTCACGGATACGTGAGCACAGGGCATTCGGAGGAAGGGTCTTCCTCACATGCCTACGGAACACCAGAAGATGTTCAAGGATATGTGAGCACGGGGCACTCGGAGTACCGTGGCCGACAAGGACAAACCTGCGTCGCCTGCGCGCACACCTGCGTCGCCTGCGCGCACACCTGCGTCGCCTGCGCGCACACCTGCGTCGCCTGCGCGCACACCTGCGTCGCCTGCGCGTATACCTGCGTCATGTCTGCAAAGAGCTTCCTCGTCTGCGCACGACTACCTGCGTCGTGTTTGCCAAGAGCTTCCTCACGCCTGCACAGAAAGAGCTTCCTCGTCTGCGCACGAATACCTGCGTCGTGCCTGCCACGAGCTTCCTCACGCCTGCACAGAAAGAGATTCCTCGGCGACCTCGCTGCGCGCAACGAAAGCTCGCTGCACGGAAGAATACGTGTCACCCCTGCCCTGTTGAAGAATGGACGGTCCCCTATTATAGGTCAAGGGTCACATTCGTTTTTGTTTACTTCAGTCTCAAATTTGTTTTAGTTTTTATGCCTACAATGTCCGGCGCGTTTGTTAATCAATAACGGGCCCGTTAGTGATAAAATTAATTAATAGAAATCCTGCATAGATTATGTTAATATTGCCCTTACAACATCTGCCCCCAACAACAGAACCACCTCGTCTTCGATCTTCCCCGGTAAGTGCCCGTTGTTTATTTGCATGAACAAAGCGAATAATTCCAAAGAAACATTTTGAGGACATCCTATGGCAGTCTGGGCATCGATTCTTCCCGACCCGTGACGATATACACGGTTTTAGACCGGATTTGAAGTAGGCGACGATATGGAGGAGGGGGAGGGGGGGGGGGCAGGCACATGTAACGTTACAGTATACTACTACGCATGTTTAATTTGCACCAAGGGTTCTGTGAAATACCTAGAGAGGCAATTTGACTATGAACTGAACCATGCCCAAACCTGCACCAAGAGGTTTTACTTTTGTCTGTGAATGTGGAGAAATTAGGCTACATAGTTTCTTAGTCGCCTTTGAATTTTGGACTTACATCATGTGATTTGAATGACATGAGCGGTTTATTAGCATGATCAATTGGAAACATAACTAAATTATAAAACATCACTCTAAAAGGTTCATATCACTTCACGAAGGTATGGGGTCGTTGAATTCTAGATACCTTCGTCAAGAAGGTTATGCTTTTGGTCTCGTTCGTGTATGTGTGTGTTTGTCTGTCACCAAAAATAACTCAAGAATGCTTGCATGGGTTGTCTTCGTATTTGGTATGTGAGTACATCTTGACAAGATCATGGTAATTATGATCTTATTTTTGAATGAGACAAATCCCTGAAAAACATTTTACATAAAGTCCACATATTTCATGGAGGTATGAAATCTCCGAATTCTTGTTCATCTTGTTAACAGTACCGGTAACCAATTTTCATTGTTTCAGTTGGTGTCTCCGCTTCTGCATGATGTCTCTGTTGTCAGATGACCTGAATAGCTTTGCGCAAGGCTGGAATGAC